CACTTAATTTGAGATCTGCCGGATGCTTTTGGCCATCCTAAGACTAAATATGAAGTAAATGTAGTTAAAAGCACAAGAACATAGAAATCTAGGGCGAACAGCCTCATACTGTTTAATTTAGAACCTAGCTCTCTGGACTCTTATCACTTGAACCTTCTTGAGCTCCAGTGGGCCCCTTTGACATGGGGTTGTGTCCATTGGTCTAGATAAGAGGTAACAAAGGGTGACTTACGAGAGGAGCAGTAAGTGGGGGAGAAGGATTGCAGGGAAAGATAACAGAATTGGAATGAGTTAGTCCCTGAATAGAAAAGAGTGGCGAGGGTTGGGGAGGAGGTGCCCACGGAGCTGAGATGACAGGAAAGGCGGTGCTGACAAAGGAATAATACTTGCTAGTGTCCTGTCGTCAGCAGACCAGACTTCACGGAGGGGACTGAACTTGTACGTACCATGTGCCTGGCACTGTTGTTAATCACTTTACAAGAACTGATTCATTTATGATTACTATTATCCCCTTTTACAGAAGAGGAAACTGAGGCACAGAGAGGTTAAATAATAGTCCCAGGGTCACCTAGCTGGTAAGTGGTGGAGCCAGGATGCAGACCCGTGAAGTCTGACTCTGGAGCTGGCGTTCTAACCTCTCTACTGTAAGGAGCAAAGGAAGAAATCGTTTAGAGGACAAGGTGGCAGGTTCACTTGGGGCTGTCTTGGATTGAGATGCATGCAGTGAAGGTGAAGATGTCTGGCGGTTACAGCGTCAGCCTCATGGATGCTCAGACATTCCTCTGTCATCTGTGTAGATAAAATGGGAAGCGTGTCCGATATTTTCCTGAACACGGCTCTCTTCTTGTCTCTTCCTCTCCTGCATTTAAAAAACTACTTTCCTCCTCTGGAGGATGCAGCGCTCACATTGTACGTTCTTCTCATTTGCTCTGTGTGTCTGTGTACTTGTAAGCATTTTTCACAGTTCTGAGCCGGGAATGGACTTTGCCTGGGAGTTTTGTCATTAATTGGCATCCCTTGAAGAAGGAGAGGAGTTACGTTGTATGTTTTCCAGACTCTGTTAGCAGCCCAATGGCCTCCCCGAAGAGGAGACTTCAAGGTCTTGTTGCTGCGACCATCACGCCGATGACTGAGCACGGGTAACTATCGTTTGAGACCAAAGGGCTCTCCCCACCGCCTCAATGCTTGGAGTTTCTCCATAGTAGCCGTGGCTTAGACGCCGCCGCTCTGTGGTACTGTTGCCAAATGGCAGCTTCTGCCCGTCATTCCCTGCACTGTCTCTGACCTCAGGCCAGAGACGGGGTCTCTGCATTGCAAACTGCAGGAAGAGGCGAGGCTCGCCTTCCTCCCAGTTCCTCCCAGTTCCTCCCAGTGTCTGTAGCTCCACAAAGCAAAGCTGAGAAATCACCACCACGCATGTGTTTTGACTTCCAGATGAATATGATGGCAGTCCCTTTGCTGGAACTATCAGGTGTGGTCACATGCCCCAGGTGTCCGTGAGCAAGACACACAGCTCCTCCCAGGACGTTGCCATTAACAAGATGGGGATGCATCCATCTTCAGGCTCTAAAAGTAAATGTCACCTGTTAGAGGAATCAGTCTGCCGAAACAGTCAGAATCCTGGCTTCTTCAAGCTTCTCCTTTCTTCCCCTATAAAATGTAATTTTAGTTATATCTACATGGTAGTTATGAGTGTTAAAATGAGCTAATCCATGTGGCAGTGCTTAGCACAGTGTCCGTATGCACTTAGGTCAATGAGTGTGAACCGCTATTGCGGCATAAGACGGGGTAAATGGAAGGTGAGGTATTTAAGATACCTTTAAATAGGCTTTTATGGTTTTGGTCTTCTGTTGCTGAATCTGTAAACCTTGACCCTACCCCCTTTAAAGCAGATGAAATTTCTTGTGACTTCTAGTATTCTCATTCAAAGCTGGCCATATCACATTACTCAGTGGTTAATGGCAGGGTTTTGTTTGGGGGGGGGGGGTTCTGTTGCTTCTCCATTTCCACAAGTCCTGAGAAAGACTGAAGTCAGCTCTTTCTCAGTGTGTCGGCCACTTGCTGGGCAGATAAAACAGAAGGCATGTGACTTCATGAACAGACAGGATCTACTTCCTCTTATGTAGTAAGATCCTGCTTGCAACCTCAAAACACCACATCTGGTTGATGTTACTTTAACCTTTTTCATCAGACCGCTCTTAGCCTAGAAGGAGCTTCTTCAGTGTCTTGTTTGTTCATCTGGGACCCTCGGAGTGTCAGTGTGTTCTAACTCTCTAGTCTGCTGTGTTCCTGGGACACCAGGACCCACATATTAGAGAGAACTAAAGTGACTCTGCTTTTCCAGATCCTTCTCTGTTTCCCAGCTACCTCTGCCCTGTTGCCTCCATTATGCTATTTCCTTTTTTTTCACAAATTCTTTTCTCTTCTAGGATCCTCACTTTCCTGAGGTGTGAAATAAAAATAAGAATGTATTTTTATAAGGGCCTTGTAAGAATTTAACTTAAATTAAAATGTGTGTTACCACATAGTAGACATGTGAGTTAGTTAGTTACCTTTTCCCCCCACCACCTACTCCAACCCAAACATTCCTTTTCTAGGTGTTAAGCAGGTTTGGAGCACCAGGCGCAGGCGGACATTAACCTACTTGCCCACAAGCGAATCTGCACTTCTGACATGTTTCCAAAAGACAGGACAGAAAGAGGAGTCACGTGGGCTCTAATACCTGGAAATTCTGCCTGGTAACCTGCCGCTGTAGGAGTTTTCCTAACCCGGCTCTTAGGGTAAACCAGGGCCTCCATAATCCAGAATGGCTGAACAAGTGCTATCTCCTGTCTCCTTTTTCCTTCCTAAATCTAAGAAACATTCACAATTCAACTCTGAATATAAGTGGATGTCCTGGAGTGAGGAAGTTGGCAGAAAGAACATGTGAAATAGATTTTAGTTGGACTGTCTGGGTTCTTGACCCCCAGCTGTCTGACCCTGGGGAGGTCTTGTCGCTTTGTAGAAGTGCTCTCATATTTTGTAAAGAGACAGAGTTCAACCACATTATCTCTAAGACCCGTTCAAAGGCTGAGAGTCCTCAATCCTCTGGTGGTATCCATCCTCCACGCTGCATCCCAGTGACCTTCCTTGTAAGTAAATCTAGTCATTTATTAGATTTACTCTTTAAGAATCCCTCCTGAGTCCCTTTTGTCTAAGCCTTGCTTGCTCATATGGTTCATGAACCATTAGCTCCAACATCATATAGCAACTTGCTAGAAATGCAGGATCTCAGGCCCCAGTACATACAGCTGGGTCAGACCTGCGTTTTAACAGTGTCCCTGGATGACTTTAGCAATGAAGTCCCGATGAACTGGTCCAAACGTTCAAGCCCGGAGCCTGGGATGACATAGGAAGTCCTCTACAATCTGCCTTTCTTGCGATGTTTCTGTTTCCCCAAACATCTCCACCCCTTTCTTCCCTCTGTGCCTTTTACACGTTCTGTTTCCTCAGCATTTTTTCCCACCACTCTCCTTTCTCTGCTCCACCTGAACACGTCTGTTCATCCATCAAAACCATCCTCTGGTGACTCTCACCCGTTTTCCCTAAAAGGACTGATAGAGCCCTTCCCCTGTGCTGCCTTTTCACGTTGCATCAGAAGCATTTTTTATGGTAATTTTTACAATAACTGTTTGCCACATGCCTGTCTCTCCCAGCAGACTCTGAGCTGCTTAACCATATGCAAATATTTGTTGGGAACCAGGCAACACACAAGGACTGAGCATGTATCTTCTTCCTCTTTCTGTCTTCAGCATCTAGCAGTGTGTGGTACGTTTTGTGATTTCGTGACTGAATAATTTTGTTACAAGCAAATGATTTTGTTATTTCATGAGGAAAGGAAGCAAGCATTGATTGGCTGAATACCAATCCATGTGTCAGTTGTCATGCTGGGCATTTGTATGGACATGTCCCAATCACAGCACTGTTACCTGCTTCTGCAGCTGATAAAACCAAGAGTTTAAGGATTGACATGCTCGCCCGCTAGCCACCCACGTAGCTGGAAAGAAAGGTCTATCTCTACCCAACCAACTTGTGTCTTTTTCTACATTAAAGTCAAAGACTTGCTTTCCTTAGTTGTTTTAAGAAGTCATTTTTTTTCCTTTGGGCACGTTCACAGTCATTAGAACAGAAAGTGCATTTCAGATTGGCCAAAATGTCAAAAAAAAAAAAAAGTTGTGTTTTTCTCCCTCAAATGCCTTTGACATCACCATGGGAATCTTCACAACACCCTCTGCTAACCACAGAGCTGTTCCCCAACTCGTCAGAAAGGGCCTGGCCTGCTGGGGTCGGAGTGGTGTGGAGTTTTTGTCTTTGTAGCCATGTTGGGAGACTGAATGATTCAGATTTCAGAACAGGATGTTTCCAGGGCAGGTGGAGTCCCTGCGTGCTTCCCTGCCCAAAGAGGTTTGAAGTAGCCAAGTAGTTGTTTTGCCAAAAGGACACATACGTCCCATCTGATTTGGAATGCTGAAGGACATATGCATATATATAAAGTTGGGAAAGAAATAGCAAGTCAGATTTTCTGCTACGCATGCCAGATCATGCCGGTTATGAAGAGGGCCTGTCCTGTGGGCTCTGTTCTCAAATAAAGCAGAAGTCTTTCTCTGTGTGTCATATGCCAGGGAAAGAAATGTATAGAAATAGGGATCTTTCTGTGAAAAGCCACTTGAGGAAAATTCTATTCTCCTTACACCCTAAGAGAAGAGATGTGCTGTGCACGTAATTTCACAGTTCACCTACTCTGGGCCTCAGTTTCTGGCCAAAATAATTTAATAAACATTCCCTCCCCTTATGTAGCTTGGAAATAAACTAAATGTCCAAGAATAGAGGATTTTCTAAGCTAATTATGTTCATGCATGCGGTGAAATACTGTGTAGCCTGTATAGTTACAGTATCTGAAGATGTGGGAAGATACCCAATTTGGAATGCTAAGTGAAAAAAACGACAACACTGTGTACACTATGACTATTTATTTAAGAAAATCCTGTATTGTATATTTCTGAGTAGAAAAACATCTGGAAGAGTAATCATTTCCAGGGAGAGCCTGAGTGATGTTTTTCTCTTTTTACTGTGTGTACTTTCTGAAGTAAACAGTATAGCTTCTGTAATGTGACAGAGGTTAAGTGCTTCAACTGAAGAGACACGGCAGTGGGAAGCCAGCCCAGCACCCCCGAGTGAACTGGCTTGTGCTGCTGGTCACCTGTGAGTGGTGAGCCCAGCCAGCCAGCCAGCGGGGAGAAGAGTAAGTAACCAGTCTCTTCTCATGACGCCCCCCCCCATAACTGGTGCAGTGCCTGGAGCACTGCACATAAACCCAGACCCCCTGGAGAGGTGGAGTAAGGTGGGAGAACAGGGAAGGGAGCGAAGTCCCCAGAGAGGATTACCATCGCGTGGCCACCTAGCCCTGCTGTTTGGGGCGCCTCCATGACAAATACGGCAACAGCTCTGGGTGATTGCCCTGGGCTCACTTGTGACTGGAGCCCCTGAGCATCTCTGCCAAGGGCTGCAAACTCACACCGGCAGTCAGGCAGGGATCCAAAATCCCCGAGGTGACCTCGGGGGCTCCTGTGCTTCCAAAGGGGGCAGCCTCTGCTCCTCCCAGCCAGCCGGTGCTGTACAGAAATGTAGGCCTGGCTTTGTCAGAGCTTCTGGCTTTTCAAATAAAGTCTTTTTTTTTAATGTGGATGAAAAGAGATTTTAACATTGTGAAAGTCAAACAGAACACATTAGGAGACATCCCTTCTCAACCCCTGACCTCTCTAAGGGGATTTGATAGTTCCAGAAGGCCGTAAGTCCAAGGGCATTTTAGGGTGACTCTGCCACTGCCCCAGAGGTTCTGCCATTGATGTCCCCCCTGTAGATCGGGGCATGTTGTGAGGAGCAGCAGGCTGTGCTGTCCTGAGGGAGCACATGGTGTCTCACCCATTAGCACCCCTCACCTGAGTGAAGTTGTCACAGCTGTCATCCAGCAAGGCCCCAAATGAGTGGGGAGAGGGGGTGAGTGCAGAGAAAGCACTACCCACTGAAGCCATAAAATTGTGTGGAGTTCACTGAAGAAAGAGAAGGAACTGGGGGTTCCACATGCTGGCCTCGATCTGCCCGAGGGTGCGGCCAGCCCCCTAGGAGGAGGAGGACACGGGAACAGGGCCAGCCAAATGCAGCGCTCAGCACAGTCGGGGGGAAGGATGGTCACAGGATTTATCCTGTTTAGTATTCCAGGTCCACCGCCTCCTTGGAGTCTCCTTTCCGGCCTCCCTAATTGGAATGATCAGTCCCCTTCTGAACCTCTTCACACTTTCTCACCAGTCACAGCCTTCGACGTCTTTTCCTCCACATTTTAGCTATTTATATACATTATCTCCGTTACTGCGATAGTTAATGCGGTAGTGAAATGTAGGTGCAGCCTGTGAGTGTGGGGATAATCTGCTTTTAAGGCAGAGACCACGGGTCTTTCATTTTCGTTGTAAGTTCCTGCGTCACGACTCCTTCTCTAGCCTTTGCTGAGCACCTGCGCTGTGCCAGGTGTCGGCGAGGGGTTAACGGTATGAAAGCCACAGGTCCTGCCTTCAGGAAGTTCTCGCTGTAGCCTGGAGGGCGGGCGTCAACGGTGTACAGAATGATGTTCATAGTAACAGCGATGTGAGCTTTAGTGAGGACTAATAATCGCAGTGATGACGGAGCTTTGGACTGGAGCCAAGTGCAGTGCTGAGCACTTGTGCTGGACTGGCCGATAGAGGCCCGCTTGGTTGGGGGGGTGTCCTTGCTGAGTTTGGAGCCCACTTGGGGGATATTCACATATGCGCTAAGGGACTAAGTCGGTTTCTCTCCTTAAGGCCCTCTGGGCATAGGTACAAGCTCCAGCTTCCCTTTCCAAGTGAGAAAACAGAAGGCGGCGTGTGGATGCGCGCACAGGGCCCGCCAGGCCTTGGCCATCCAGGCTCTGCGGCTCCTCCTGGGAGCAAAGGCCGGGCCTGCTCTCGGTGTCTGAGTCCCGCGGCCAGGGTGGGACTGGGAGGTGTCGAGACTTCAGCGAACGTGTGCAGGAGCCACTGTGTGAATCGGGGACTCCCACACGCACTGTGGCCTGGGGACCATTTCCAGTTCCCAGTCTGTGCTTGGGATGTCCCCTGGGTCTGCTAGGGCTGGTTCCTGGTTGTGTAAGTAGATGGACACCGTTGCTCAACACCAGAGTTAGTGTCGTACAGACAAAGCCCTGCTGATTGCTCCTGCATCTCAGAGCTTGTCCCAAGCTGGGGGGGTGGGGAGAACTGATGGAAGCAGCAGAGGGTGAGTGTGCTGTAAGGCTGTGGTTCCAAGTGGTCAGAAATGTCGGAGGCGGAAAGATTTCAAGAAGCTGAGCAGGTCAAGCTGACCTAACGGGTTCCTGAGATGGACTGTCTAGGCAGCCAACACCCTCCCCCATCTTTAAGTAAGAACAACCTAAATGTGTTCCTGACATGCATTCAGGGAGCCTCTGCCCGATGAGACTGAGAGGCCAGGATCTGGCATTGGAGCAGGTGGGGCGGGGAGGGGCAGTGTTACGACGCTGGGGCGTGAGCCATCACGGGGGGAGGGGGCTGCTCCTTTTACAGGCCTTTCAACTACGTTCAAGCGTATTTCTTCCCTCGTGGCCGCTTGGACCAGTTGTCTTTTGCGTGTGGTGGGCAGTGGCTGCCTTTGCCTCTTTGTTTTTATCTCTGTTGTTTCCGTTCCCTTTGACAAATACCCTTTGATGTCTTTGTTTTCTATATGCATCAGATATTTTTGTTTCTTTCTGCTTTTTTAAGGACTACAGTAAGTGAAGATGAAACGAATGTTAATAAGGTTGAAATTAAATGGGGATCCTCTGGCCCCACTGACAGGAATGCAAATGGCCGCCAGCTAGTACTCTGTGTTCTTGGCAGCCATGGGCTCTGGGACACTTAACACATACGGGCCCCGCAGCTTTCCTTTGTGTTTTTATTCTCCATCCCCCATCCCCCCCACCTGTATTTTGACTGGGAATATGTCACTTTAGCTGATTTGTCTGTGACTCAGTTTCTAGATTTTTAAGCTCAATGTGATTTTAAGGAAAAGGGCCCTTATTGCCTTACGCATCAGATCTTTACAAGGTCAGTACCCTTCAAACTGCAAAGTGCATTCAGATCACATGGGGGTCCCACTGCAGTGCAGAGTCTGGCTGGGGGATCTGCGTGGGGCCTGCATTTCTAACCAAGCCCCCCGTATGCTGATGCATCCACAGACCATACTTTGAAAGGCAGAGTGATGGCAAAGTTCCTTTCTAGCTGTTAATCCTGTTCAGTTTAAAACTAGCACATATAACTGGGTTTAAGCCTTCATTTGTTGTCTCAAATGTCAAGTGATAAATTCTTAAGTTGTTAAGATCGAGTTTTCCTGCTTTGTGAGCCTAAGAAATGATTTCTTCTCACCACATGAAAAATGTTAACTTCTCATTTAATTACGCCCCCAGCCATCATTCCTCCCACAAAGGGCAAAAGATGATTTAACTACTTTCTAAATACTACTTGTAATGAAGTTTACGTGTAGAACCTTTGTCGATAACTAATAGTGTTTTGCTCATGTAAGTGAGGCTTATATGGCTGAGGTGAGAAATTACCAGCCTCAGAAGAAGGAAAAAACCCAGGCGTTATTCAGAGGAGGCTAAGAATTTCACATACTGGTTAGGTAGATTTCAATAATTCTTAACAAGAGAGAGCAGTTTATAGACTTGGGGATTGACTGAATAATAATCTAGAAAAGAATATGCATGTTTTCTAAGTTTTTTCCTTTGTCTTTCAGAGAAATCAACTTTTCAGTCATTGGTCAGTATGTGGATTATCTTGTAGAAGAACAAGGAGTGAAGAATATTTTTGGTAAGTCATTTTTAGAGATTTCTCTCCGTATCTCTCAGCCCTTAGACGGTGGTTGTCACCTGGTTGCTAATTAGGAGGTCACAACATTAATTGTGTCATAACTTATGATCGAGCCTAGCTAAGCTGTGTGGATTTTTAGGCTTATCAACTTTAGAGCTATAAAGATAATCAAGAGATTATCTGATTTGGTAGTGTACCTGAGATAGACTGAGACCTGGGCGCTGGCCCCTTTATCGGAGTGCTTGCACCTGGACAAATGTCTCCTAGAGCAACAGAATGCAAAGAAACTATAAGGGACTAAAAACTACACGTGTGTGCAGCTGGGGCAGTTATGAACAGTAAGACGCAAAAAGGCCACAAACCAAGTGCCCCACTTCTCAGGTCCCGGGAGCAAAAGCAGGGCACTGCCTGTGACCCGTGTACATGGCAGTACGTGGATCAAGGGGGTGGGCAAACCACCTAAGCTGTGCCTCCTGCCTGACCCACAGACCCACCTCTGTTGTCACCCCTTTTAAGGAGCCAGCTCACCCACCTTGGGGAGCAAGCAAGGGCACCAGGTTCTCGCTCTCACTCCCTCATGCTACAGCACGCGCCTCAGTGAAGCCTTGCCTGAAATTCTCTCGTCTGGCCTCTTATCAATTTCCATTGATTTAAGAGTCCAGGGACCCAGGTTGGTAACAAAACTAGAGAGGTTGTTTTAGATCTGTGCTATACACCAAGTAAGTCCCACTTACGACCGCCTTGACATCCCAGGGCTGGATGGCACTGGCTTCCCTGTCATTCAAGCCCAAATGCAGGACTGACTGGTGTGCTCAAAGGAGATTTGCCTGAAACATGGGCAGTTGTCTCTCTCTGCATTTAAAACACTTACTCTTTGTCACTGAAAACAATGTCAGATTTATAACTGCAAGTCATTCTTAGCCTTCCCACTCCTCTGGACAAGGTGAGGATGGAAGAAAGGCTGCGTGAAAATGGACACGTGGCATTTTCCCCTCCAGGAGTCTATCCTCTGGTGTTTCTCCATGTCACTTCCTCCTGAGCAGGGTTTCTGCCCCTGCACCGCCCGCGCTGGTGCTGGAGGAGCGAGAGGTATGGGCGGGTCCCACTGATGGACTCTCTCTTTGGAACAGTGAATGGCACGACCGGAGAAGGCCTGTCCCTGAGCATCTCAGAGCGCTGCCGGGTCGCGGAGGAGTGGGTGACAAGAGGGAGGAACAAGTGAGTGGCTCCACCGGGACACAAACCCTCCTCTGCAAGAGCTGCATAGAGTGTGGCCATTCCCCAGATGACGCAGCCTCCCTGCCTTCCGGGCGCAAGTCAGGCCCGAGGTCAGCTTGTAGGAAGAGCAGCTGAGGCAGAGGAGCGCCCTTCCCTTCCGTGTGGAAGGGCAGCCAGACTGCAGGACACACCTGGCTGTCAGAGGTCCCATCGGGAAACTGCAGACTGCCTCCGGTCTTTCTACCAGGCCAGTCCCTCGGGTTCCCTGCCCTTGGGCTGAGGGCATAAGCAGGGACACCCTGGTGACTGACCCCTGAGCGCCTGGCCCTTCTGCTCGGCAGCTCTTGCTCCGTCCCTTCTCAGGGTGGGTCCTGATGCTAGTAGCAGCCAGTTGCTCCCTCGCAGGTCTTCTGTGTGTGTGTGGCTCTGCGTGGCCTTACGGTGCATCCTCTGGTGGTCTTGCGGAGCTTTCTGCAGCCCCTAAACGTCAGTGCGGTGATAGGTTTTGGTTATAAAGCCCCGTTCGCGCCATGGTAAAGCAGATAGGAGAGCATCAGTTCAGTAAGCACATCAATCATCCAGGTGTTATTTGTCGTCTGTTACAGTGTACGCCATGCACTGTGCTGGCACTGGGGGCACGAGACAGGATCTCTGCCCTCGGGTTGCTTACCATCCGGTGGAGGTGTCAGAGCAGGAAAACTAACACTGGCCCTTTGATAAACAGTGTAAACAGGGATCAGGGAAGGGAGTGATTGATGGTGCCTTAGGTGGAGATGAAGAGTGGAGGGAGGTCCCAGGTGAGCCTGGCGCGGAGATGGTCAGTGCAAAGCCCACGCCCACTGTGGGAATCCTTAAACGGCTTAAGAACACCCACCTTGGTTACTCTGAAATTATACGCCAAGTTTGAATGCATGTCCACAGAAGCATTTTCTGGTGATCCATCAGTTTTCAGCTACTTTTCAGTCAGATTGAAGACCATGGGCAGAGTGAGGAAAGAGGAACGCTAAGGATAAACATTTAGAAAAGCACCCGAAATGGGAGGATAGGGAAGGGGCAGAGACAGAAAGCCCTCAGAAGGGTCGGAGGGAGATGAGAGTGAATCATGTCAGTAGAGGAAAGATGGTTTCAGAGAGGTCAGTGGAGCATTAATTAAGAGCAGGGGCTGGAGGGCCAGGCTGCCTGAGCTGGGTCCTGGCTCTGCCTCTTAGCCGCTGTGTGAATTCAGGCACGTCTTAAATGCCCTGTGCTTCATCTGTAAAACAGGAATAATAATAGTACCTGTCATAAGGTGGAGGTGAGGATTCAAACAATGCCTGACACACAGAGCTAAGTCTTATATAAGAATTCCCTGTAGTTACTTGCAGCAGATGCTGTGTTCGTGAGAACATTGGTTACAGCAATTGTTAGATGCTATGAGAGTCAGTAGGGGGAGGATAGAGAAGGCAGGAAGTGACCCGTGACCTCAGAGAGCAGAGCCAGAAGGGTCATTGTCTAGAAGCACCTGCAGTGAGTATAGAAACGCTGCAGACACGTGGAAGACGGGGTCGGGAAGGGCAGCTTATTCTCAGAAAGAAATTTCCTGGTGAAGGGAAGGAGAGATGGAAAAATAGAGTAGGGAGGGGGACGCAAGATTAAAAGAAGGGTTGGAGGGAGGAGGGCATGGCCCAGTGGTAGAGCGCATGCTCAGCACACACAGGTCTTGGGTTCAATCCCCAGCACCTCCATTAAAATGCATATATAAATAAATGGATAGATAAATAAATACCTAATTGCCTCACAAAAAAATAATAAAAGAAGGGTAATTTCTTCCTCTTAAAGTGGGGAAGTCTTGAGCACGTTTCTGTGCTGAAGACAGTCCCACGGGGAGAAGAGATTAAAGAGTGGAGAACTGGTGCCTTTGATGGAGAGTCTCGGCGAGGGCTTTGAAATAAGACCAAAAATGGGCAGAGAAGCTTTAGGAGATAGCTAGGAAGCTGGGAGGAACACCTGGAAGATGACATAGCCCAGCACCGAGGTGAAGAGGAGGTGAAGTGAGGGAGTCTGGGTGTGAAAATACCGTTCGCGTCATCTGCCAAGAACAGGGGGTTGGGTGGAATTTAGAGCTTGAGAAGAGCCGTCGAAATTTGGAGTAGCCTCTGCAGGGAATCAGAAAGGGAAGAAAGTCTTCATTGTGAGAAGGCTCTTGGGAGCCTCATCCTCCTGGACTGGGACATCACAAGTGGGTACTGAGGACACAGACCCAGCAGTGGGGTTGGGGAGGAGGGAACGCATGACTGTTCTAAGCTAAGAAGGAGGTCAGGGCACAGAAGGTCCGAGGAGGTCATGCAGCGAAGCTCTGGTGAGGGTAAGGCAGGCCAGCCCGCCGCCTTTTCTCCTCTTAGAAGTCCTCTGTCCCCCTTCACAGATGCAAACCTGCTCATAGCACTTCCTGCTGGGTCCCATTGTACCTGTCACATAACAAGTCAAGCAGACATCATGGGAGGGCTCAATGCTTGGGCCCCAGTGGGGAGGTGGCGTCTCCATCCCATAAGGGTGTCATGTGTGTCACTCAGAGTCCCTCGAAGAGTCGCCAGCATGACTGGACTCACAGCTGAGTTTTATTCATTCTACCTTCAGGAGATCAGTCGAAGTGTGGCGTCTTAGACTGGCCATGTGGAGCACCTCCAAAGATGAGCATCGGGGTGTCAGAAAAAACCTCACCCATGGCCAAATTCTGAGGGCTCACAACATAGGGAAACGACTTTAAACAGTAAATCCTTTTTTCATGTAGCTGGTTCCTGGTTGTACTCTTTGGGGGACCTCTTTATTTTTATCTCCGATGAGGACCATCTGTTTTATCCCTATCTTCATGCACATCATCACCATCAGATACAGCATCTATAATAATTCATAGTCAAAATAAGTACTCAAGTAGCAGTTAATCAGTTACTGCTTTCAAAATTCTATTGCTTGGTTGAACCTTACATTTTATTCCCTGGACATTTTTTTCTGAATCCCTGACTAGGTTAATTTTAAGCAGCCCATAGCAGAATTTAATAGTCTTGAGACTGAGATTGATCAGATATTAGCTAACTGCTAAACCAGAGCAAACCAGGATGGCACAGCCCTTCCGTGCTCCTGCAGACTTCAGGTGGTGCAGCCGTGTTCTCTCTTTTGCAGGCTGGATCAGATAGTAATTCACGTAGGAGCCTTGAGCTTAAAGGAGTCACAAGAACTGGTACGTATATAGGTCCATCTGGGAGAGACTACTTGAGGGGCCTCCGTTTTTATGCTGAAGTTAAAATCAGTACCATTTTTGGCATATATTGGATGCTGAGCTGGAGAATACAAGATGTGGGACCTCGGGGAGTCCACTCCCTAGAAGCAAGCACAGAGCCATCAAGAGAGTTGCCCAAGGTGATAACTGCTGTAGCAGAGCATTGAATGGACACTTGTTTGGGGCAAGATAAGGATGGGTCTAGAGCTCCCTAGTTTGCAGGTAAGGAATACACCTTGAGCCACCCTCAGTTTTTCTCTAGGAAGTAAAAGACAAGGGTCTCTGCTGGGCATGAAGGAGATGGAAGATGGGGTTTGGATATGAGAAGTGGTAAAAATTGAGAATTGCTGTCTGGAGAACAGGAGAGAAAACTGAGACATGTCTCCACCCATGTTCACAGCAGCACTACTTGTAATAGCCAAGGGGTGGAAGCCACCCAAGCATCCATGGACAGATGAATGGATAAAGAAAAGGTGGTACATACACAGTGGAATATTAATCAGCCTTGAAAAGGAATTAAATCCATCTTGTCATATGTTACAATAAAAGACAAAGCTCTGATTCCTCTTATATGAGGTATAGTAGTCAAATTCATAAAAGCAAAGTAAAGTGGTGGTTACGACAGACTAGGGGGAGGGGGAAAGAAGGGTTGTTTAGTGGGTATAAAGTTTGTCATTTGAGAAAAAGAGGCAGACTATAAAACAAAGAAATGCATTTATTTGGGGTCTTAGAATTGCAATTCAGGCAGCACAGATTCCAGCAGCAACCAGAACAGTGTTCCCTCTGGGAAAGAAAAGGCAGGAGTTTTTAAAGGAAAATAGGGAAGTACACTTAGTTTACATAAATTGTTTGCCAAGAGCTGGGATTGGAAGGTCTGTATTCTCTTTTTCTTTGCTGTTACAATTTATGGACTTGCCAAGTGTGTTTCACTTATTATCAGTAAAGTCACATGTCTGCGCAGTTCTCTGGGATGCCTTTCTCAGCAAATAGCTTCCTTTTCTTTCTTTCCTTTCTTTCTTTCTTTCTCTTTCCTTCTTCCCTTCTTTCTTTCTTCTTCTTTTTTTTTTTAAAGTCAGCAGGATCAGTACAGTTCACAGTTTTAACAGGATGGAGCCGTAAAGTACAAAATGGAGTTCCTGCTGGCAGCTCCTGCAAGTTTCAGATTTGCAAGGTGAAAAAGCACTAGAGAGCTGTTTCACAACAATATGAATGTACTTATTAACGCTACTGAACTGTATACTTAAAACTGGTTAAAATGGTCAATTTTGTTGTGTTTTTCTAAGTCATAATTTTGAAAAATAAATTAAAAGCTAATTAATTAATTTTTTTTAAAAAGGATTGCCCCAGTGGTACTCATAACCAACTAAAGTTGTGAGTCATAAATTTGTCACACCACCACTCAACACAGGCTTGGAAATTTTCTTCTAGGTACACCCTTCAGCCAGAGCAGAGGAACGAGGATGCCAGCAGTTGGGCAGCTCTAGGTTTACAGACGAACAGGTTAGGTAGAGCAAAATTTTGGCAAGGGAGGAAGGAGTTAAAGTTGCTAGCAGAAAAGTAGATGATGTGGTGGTTTCGAGGCCTTTGTGAACTGGGCAAGGAGAGAAAGTACAAAGATGTGATAGCCTGGACTGCTGCCAGTTAACCGTCGACTGGAAAAAAAAAAACCAATGTGCAACCTCAAAGCTGAGAATTATGTTTTATCCAGAGGACTTACTGGGGACGTAAGCCTAGGATGCAGCCACTCAGATAGCTCTAAGGGACGCTACCAAAAAGGTAAGGGAGGAGCCAGGATGTATAGGAGCTTTTTAACGGGGGAAAAAACAAAACAAAATTTTAAAAACATGTATTTGAAAATCAAAAGATTACTGCTCATCATAAAAACACATATCAAGTTAATGATTTCAGCGCTTTTCTGTGTCTGGGAAGGTGCCGGCGTCTGGGCTTACTGACGCCATTCCTTGGATCTGCATCTTAACTGCCCAGGGCCAGTGTCCTCCTTTTCTCCATCCTGAATCCCCTCAGCGTAGTGCACTGATGGGCTCGGCTGCAGTGGCCGATGGCCTTACGGCCGAAACATCCTTTATTTACTGAAATGGCAGGTGACATTGTTTGTCCACGTAACCATGTCCCCGGAATTCAGATGTTCTAGTTCTGCAGAGCACAATGACTTGACCTAGCCCCAGCTCCTTCTTGATGGGTTTTGTTTGACTGTGTTTCCTATTAATTGAATTTAGAAATGGGATGTGTACTGTATACTCACAGAATTGCAATCCAGCAGTCTTGGGCAAGCCGCAGAGGAAGACGTACTAGATGGTTGCTTAGTAAACTAAACCTAGAGTCAGGACTTGGAAACTTGATGTATTCTTTTTTTTTTTAATTTACAAAGCATCTGTTTTATTTTTATACGTTAGAGAAAAAAAATTGTTTGAAAAGGTTTCAATGATTTGAATTTCCTAGAGAAACATTGCTAGAAAGGTTTACGAACCCTCACGTTACAGCATCATTTGTTACTAGAAAATGACATGCTATAGTAAAAACACACTTTTCAATTGCAAAGCATTTCTAGAAGTTTATATTTTTATGAAGACCGTATTTTCTGAAGTTAACTTCTCCCCTTTTAACAAACATTTTGCCAAGCAAGAAAAAGGTGATAAAATTCTGCGGATAAATTGCTGCTGACGGGGAAAACCCTAGAGACTCCAACAGCAGCAGCCGGGACCTGGATTCTCCACCCCCAACCCCAGCTGCAGCCTTTGGGGGTCTGGGAGCAGCTGCTGCAGAGATACAATGTCTCTCAGGCGCTGCTGCTGTTATGGGGGAGCTCATGCCTCTCTATCAACGTGCTTCCTGCTTCCCCGGAGCTGGAGGAAAACAGAAGAGAAATATATAGAAAGGGGTGGCAGGAGCTGTGTGCTGTCTTCTCAGAACCAGAAGAGGATGGTGCTCTTGCCCAGAGACCTGAGCTAGTCAGGCTTTCCAGTCAGACTTTCAATTTCATTGGTCTATTCTTTTTACATTTGATTTGTTTTTCTTATAATAGATCTTTCAACTGAAGTAGCCTAGTGGAGGAAGTCTTTTTTTTTTTTTCTCTTCCCTTTTCAATTGCTTTCTTTTCCTATGTGTAATCTAAATTTTAAATATTGTCATGTGATGACGTGAAAGGCAGTGTCATCCACTGGGCTGAGCACTAGAACAATGTAAAGATAATCTCAGTATACAGGTACTTTCGTGCTGTAGGGATAATTCTTGCCAAGGGGACGGTAGTCATGGCATCTGCTTAGACATAACTCCCCACTGGATGATGCTTGAATGGCCACTGCCATCAACTGTCTCCAAAAGTGGGCTTTTTCCCCTTACTTTCAGCTAAGGTTACCCTTCCACTCTTGTCCTAAGCAGGGTACGAAGTAAGCGACTCAGATACATCGCATTCCAGTCCTGTGTTAGTAAAATTCTATCCAATGTCTTGATTGGTCTTTGGACTACATCTCGGTCGCTTTTTGACTCTCCTCCTTTGCTTCTGCAGAAAGTTAATCATGTCTTTTAGATATAGACACCACTGTGAGTTAAAGTGGTATCTCAGAGGAAGGCCATTTTCCCGTTTTAGGTAGTGGGGCATGTTTCAGAACGCTCAGCAAGCACCTGCTGCGTCCCTGCTGTGTGCTCAGCACCGTGACTGACCTGAACACAAGAGTCAGTAAGATCTGGCCTCTGTTCTCAGGGAGGTCGCTCATGTTGGAGAACAGTGCCTACACGTAACTGTCTTACAACATGGGAGGCTCAGGTGCTCGGCTTGAAATAGATTTTAAAAATGTTACGAGGGTCCAGTGGGAGGAAATGTTTAATTTTTCTGAGGGAATTTGAGAAAACAGAAGAGTACTGCAGTGTATCTTCTATGACGTGTATAATCTTTTCCTTCTCAACCACATTCCCAATCTGTAATATAAATTTAAAAATATGATTATTATATCTTTGGAGAGGAAAGAAAGTGTCATCCAGTGGGCTGAACACTAGAAGAGAACATCTGTAGGTTTCTCTGTTAATAGTTATAATTTGTCAAAATGAACTGCTCATGTCTTCTTAGCAAGGTTTTTTTGTACTGACGAAGTCTGAAGGAGAATAAGATTAAATACGCAGCTCACCTCTGCCAGGGGTCTCTGCTTTGCAGCCTTGGAGTTTCCCAGTAATGACGTTTATCATTAAATTTGGCTAATTTTCCACTCCCTAATGGAAAGAAGTTTGAAGAGTTTGTTGTTAACTTCTAATAATCTAAGCTGTCGGTGAACATAGTAAGTCACTTACTTCAGGCTGGTTGTGCTACTGTGATTTATAACAAGAAATATGTATTTGGTCTTCGCCCCATTTCTGGCACAGAGCTCCTGAAACCCTTGGAATTTCCGGAGATGAGAACAATAAAGATACCTCTTGTTATGTTGATGAGGTGACTTTCGGAAAGCACCTAAGGATGTGGCTGGTTGTCAAGAGTACCAAGCAAGTGCATTAGAGGGTTAGGACTGAAAGTTCCAGCCCCCTACCTCCAGGGAGGGAAGGGGCTGGAATCTGAACCAGTCACTAATGGCCAAGTGATTTAATCAGCCCTACCTGTGTAGTGAAGCCTCCATAAAACCCCCAAAGGACAGGTTTCAGCGAGCTTCCAGTTTGGTGAACCTGTGGAGACGTGGGGAGGGTGGGCACCTGCGCCCGGAGAGGACAGGGACGCTTCGTGCGCCTTCCCCACGCCTACCCTGTGCATCTCTTCCATCTGGCTGTTCCTGACTTGTATCCTTTAATTTAAAACAACATTGATCTGGTAATTAAAATGCTTCTCTGAGTTCAGTGAGCTGCCCTAGCAAATTAACTCATCCAAGGAGGGCATCGTTGGAACCTTCAGTCTGTGGCCCATGGGTCAGAAGCCCAGGTGGTAACCTGGAATTTGAAGTGAGGGTAGGGGGCTAGTCCTGTGGGACTGAGCCCTTAACCTGTGCAGTCTGACTCTGTCTCCAGACACACAGTGTCAGAGCTGAGTTGAATTTGTAAGAACCCAGCTGGTGTGTGAGAATTGCTTATTGGTGTCGAGGAGCCCCCACACCCACACACGTCAGAATTGTGACCAATGGTCTTTCTTCTTTTAAAGGCCCAACATGCCGCAAAAATAGGAGCCGATGGCATCGCTGTCATCGCACCTTTCTTTCTCAAGCCGTGGAACAAAGGTAGGTAGATGATTCTAAACGCACAGCGCGTCACATGGTCCACTTCTTTATGCCTTCATTCCAGATGGTTGTATCTAAGTCATGAAAGTGAAGGCTTGGGGACTGGAGGCATGAAGTTGCAATGGTACAGTAGTCCTCCGGAGTATTCCGCCTCCCTGGATCCAAAAAAGAGAAGACTCCATTAAGGGACTTTAGTGAAAGGACTTAAGCTCTTTGGCCAAGTAATCTGATCGGGTCATCCCACCAAGCCTCGGGTCAGCACACAGGTGCCTGTGTTTGGGTCAGGTGTCCGCTTCCTGTCCAGTCAGTTGTGCGGAGTGTCAGAGTCACATGGCGAAGCTTGAGACCATTTTTCTCAAGAAAGAGGAGTGTAGTGATGGGCATTTTGAGACTACATGTTCTTTTCAAGTTTGAGTAAGCAATGAATTTGAAAAGACATTTCACAGAAACATTCATTGTCTTCCAAAGTATCATGGTGGTTTTCTCTGTGGAAACTATTTGTGTCTTTTGAATTCTTTTGATTATCAAAAATAAAATACAAATTTTAAAAGGTTTAAAAACAGACAAGATGTTATCTGCATGCATGACTAAATAAATCCATAACTAAATGTATAATGGGTCAGAATTATGAAATGTCACCTGTTACTGGTAGAGAGAAAATAGTTGTTAATATAGGTAAGTAATTTAAATAGTTAAATATGGGACATGTAGAACGAACATTTTTAAAGTTTTTTTTCACATGGTTTTAGAATTTTTTGCCTAAGGACTTTTCCCAAAAGACAAAGGAAAAATAACAAATTATACATAATAATTTTGTCAGAAATATTTGTCACAGACAGAATGCATCATCACTGTATTCAGATGAATTACGTAAGATTCTCTCTCCCACTGTCCAGTGGCATCCAAATCGTGAGCGGCTCTGCTGGGTTCATTCATCATCTGCAGTAACGTCACAGCAGAAGCTCAAATTGGGCGATGCAGGAAACCCCAGTTCCTCAGTAAACCTGAATGAACTCTCCTCTGATACATCTGAATTTCTCCCCAAAAGGGAAAAGTACCAAACTCTGGTTGAATTATTATGAGATGTGCCACTGCCTTTATGACTTCCCATTTTGAGCAGATGTTGGTTATCTTTTTGTTGTCGAATTTCCTCAGTTACAGCCTTATTCTGATCCTAATTCAAAGTCGTTGGCTGTTCACTGACCACACTTACGCTGCTGGGTAAGAGGACAAGGATCCTAGCCTGCCTGATGGGCTTCTGGTTTTTGTAAGAATATTTTATGAGCTTCTCTTAATATGTGGGAAGATTTGCACCATTTTTTTAATAGTACTTTAGTACGGTAAGAGTGGTAGGAAGGTGGTCCCCTTACTTTGGCCTTTCTGCAGAAAGGGAAATAAAACTTTGAAGGAACTGAATTGCAAAGACACTGCAGTAGAAATCTGAGAGATGGTGAGAGCGGTCAAGAATTTTTGGCTTCTGAAAAGGATGGTTGCATTTCATTAGATGGTTCATTTTTTTACTGGGGAAAACCGGTGCTTTACTCTGGTTCGCACCATGGCTTTTCCCGTTCTTCTTTCAGACATCCTGGTTAATTTCCTAAAGGAGGTGGCTGCCGCTGCCCCTGCTTTGCCGTTTTACTACTATCACATTCCTGCCTTGACGGGGGTAAAGAGTAAGTACTGCTTCCTTCCATGTGTCTTGCCCTTCACCCCTCACATCGTACCGTTTCACTAAGAAGCCTTCACTCCATCCCACCCCACCCCACCCCATGTCACAAAAGTGATAGAATATTGACCAGATGGTTCCAACTACTCAATATAAGTCACTCTTGCCAAAAATAAGTCAGCTCTCATCAATCATTGACACCACCTTACAGTGGGAGATTTAAGTATAAAAGACAGGTTGACCCCTAGGCACGTCTAGCAGACACCAGTGTCTGTCACACACACCCCTCCTTCTCATGCAGGAAGACACAGCCTGTGAGCCCCTGTAGGACAAGGGCTGTGTCTGCCTTGTGCCCCACTGTATACTCAGTGCCTGGCATATAGGGAGGTACTCTGACCTCTTGTCATTACTGTAGTTCTCCAGCCAGAAGATTCTTACACTTAGATGAAATTTCTTAGGAGGTTATTTTTAAAACTCCCACTTCTTTCTAACTTCCTTAAGAGAAAAAATAGAAATTGTGCTTTGTACTGTTCATAAGAGCCAAGACATGGAAACAACCTAAATGTCCCTCAACAGATGACTGGATAAAGAAGCTGTGGGTATGTTTATACAATGGAATACTACTCAGCTATAAAAAATAATAAGATAATGCCATTTGCAACAACATGGATGGACCTGGAGAATGGCATTCTCAATGAAGTAAACCAGAAGGAGAAAGAAAAATACCACATGATATCAATCCTATGTGGAATCTGAAAAAAAAAAAGCCAAACGAACTTATTTACAAAACAGAAACAGACTCATAGACATAGAAAACAAACTTGTGGTTACCAGTGGGGAAATGGGGTGGGAAGGGATAAATTGGGAGTTTGAGATTTGCAGGTACTAACTACTATATATGAGAGAGAGAAATGACAAGTTTCTACTGTATAGCACAGGGAACTCTATTCAGTACCTTGTAGTAACTTATGGTGAAAAAGAATATGAAAATGAATATACATATATATGTTCCTACGTGACTGAAATATTGTGCTGTACACAGAAATGGACACAACATTGTCAGTTCATGACAAGTTCATGAGCGGACTATACTTCAATAAAAATACGTCTTAAAGAAGAAATCGTGCTTTATAAATATCCCCCTATTGTCTTCAAGGAACAGAAGACTTAGGGCTGTAATCTGACAAGCGCGCAGGAACTGGGAGGCAAGGGCAAGTGATTATATCCAGTCGACAGTCGGTTGTGGCTGAGAACAGCCCCTGGCAGCTCGTGCAGAAAGAAGTGTAGGGCCAGATGAGATGTTCTCTGATCTTTCCTGGAGGTGTGCGGACGAATGAGACATTCATTATTTCGAGCAGTTCGTGCTGAGGAGTTGTTGGATGGGATTCAGGAGAAGATCCCCACCTTCCAAGGGCTGAAATTCAGTGACACAGATCTCTTAGACTTCGGGCAGTGTGTCGATCAGAATCGCCAGCGACAGTTTGCATTCCTTTTTGGGGTGGACGAGGTGAGTCACTCCCTGGCATATCCCAGCAGGTTAGTGTCCCTCCCATACAATTTATGTGACTGCTGATTTAGTAGCATCTCTTCTATTTTTCATCAAAGTAAATACTCTTTGTTTCTCATTAGCAACTGTTGAGTGCTCTGGTGATGGGAGCAACTGGAGCAGTGGGCAGGTAAGCTGGACACATTTTTTTCCCAATGGTTATAAATGTAAAATCCCCTCCGCCCAGAGGCGTTCATCCCCTGAGTAGTTATCTTTCTTGCATGTACACCTTTCCTAATAGGAGCACCTTTCTTTGCCACATTCTTTCAGTGAAAGGGAATTAAGTAGGGCTTAGCATTTTCTTAGAAACTCAGTCTTTGTTCTAAGAGGCACCTGTTGCAGTTAGAGGTGAAGCACACAGGCTGAAAGCATGCACAGGACTTCTTTGTCAGAAATTATTTGGTTACAAATAACAGAAACCCATTTAAACTAGCTTATGTGAAAGGAGGTAAGTTATTTTAAAATTCTGGGAAATTTCATAAAGCTCGAGAAAGTGCAGCGAAGATGAGAACTTGAAACTGCAAAGCTCTCAACAGCCAAGGCAGACGTTTCTCCATCTGTGGTCCTCTGGAAGCTCTTTATTTCCCTCTCTTTCTCTCCAGGTGGGCTCTCTCCACGTCCGCACGTTCGTGGCCAGTCATGGTGCCCACGTGGGGCATCTCAGGATGTCACTAGATAGCACTGCAGGGTCAGGTGTCCACGTAAGGTCCAGGCAGCTGCAGCTAGGAAGGCAGAATCCTGTGATCCGATGTCCACTCAGCAGAAGGCTTAGGGGCATTCGATTTAGCATGTCCACTGCACACATTAACCTAATTCATTAGAAATGTGCTTGCAAGCAGACCGATGGAAATTTGCATTCACAGAAAGTGTATTTCCTCCCAGTAGGAAAAATACAGGGGAAGCAAAATAATACTCATAACATGTCTTGGTGAGCATGGCTTTGATGAAGAGTAGTTGAGCTGGATAATCTTAATGGCTTGTTCACCAAGCCAGGATGGCTGCAACATCTGTCCTCACTGAAGGACATTTCTACTGAGGAAACCCGAAAGCCTGGATCTGCTGACCCGGGAAATTCTTACCTGTTAGGTCCCCCCCCCTTTTTTTTTGGCCACCTGAGACCCTTGGGATTCGAATTACAGTCCTCTGAAACTCTTCGGACGTTCATGGACATACTGTGACTTCGGGTGTTTCACATCTGCAAGGGACTTATCACAACTATTACATTTTGTTCTTCCCCACTTTATTACCAGAGGATAATGTGAACCTCACGTTCTGGGAATCCTTGCTGTTGACTCCAGGAACTATACACATGAAGTACCAACAATATTCTCTTCCTGGTACATCAAGATAAAAATCTTTTCTGAGCCTGCCTTACTATAGGAAAAGTCATTAGAAGCTAAGGAAACACTCCTGTTCTGAAATCCTAGAACTTTCTACCTTGCTGATTTCTCTAAAAACTTAGTGATTAGTCTAAGATATTTGTCCTCATTGGTAGAACTAGAAATTTTTTTTAAGTCAGCAAGAACATTTTATCAGATCAAATAACTAACTCTCACCTTCATTTTTGTTGATGCGTCACAGAAGGCAGGTGAAGAGGTGGAGAGCCTTCTCGACAGCTCTGTAGCCCTTCTTTGAGACATAGTTTCTTCACAGCAAAATAGAAACCACATCCACCTCGCAAGGCTTTGAGAAGATTAGACATGATCTTCGTCAGGCACCCGAAATATAATAGCCAACAAATGGCCTCTTGTATTATTTTTATCAGTATCAATATTATTATTAGAAACTCATCTCTAAGTAATATACAAGTTGACAAAGAACTTAGGTAAACTGTTGGGATCTGTCCCTTTTACTGTGGTGCTCCGTTCACCCAATTCCTCAGCATAGGGCTTTGAGGACCCCCCTCAAATACTACATTTGAGCCACAGCTCTTGTCTAGCATTGTGCCTGCGTGTGTGCGCTGGGGCAGGTGTTGCCCTCAGTCACTCCTTACCAAATACACCTCCATCTTTCACTTTTTTTTCTTTTTTCTAACTGAACTCTTTTTCTGTTTCCCTCCCTTTCCTTCATTCCCTCTGGTGTCCCCTGCCTCCTCTGCACTGCTTAGTGTTGCTGGAAAACTCAGAATGGAAGACACCTAATCCTTTAATAGAATAGGGCTTGAAAATAGGCTTCAAGGAACCCTGGTCTATTTTTGCCTTTTAAGCATCAGAGGGGTTTGAAGAGCTGGACCTTCCTGCTGAGCTACGGATCCTACAGGATGTGCTGTTTTCTTTCCAGTACCTATAACTACCTGGGAAAAAAGACAAACCAGATGTTGGAGGCTTTTGAACGAAAGGATTTCTCTTCAGCCCTGAACTATCAGGTTAGCTTTCTTTTCCCTTCGTACAAATCGCAGCTTTCTTCTTTACCACCTGAGAATGTTCATTCTCTCCCATCAGCTTTCCTGCCACACCCACCTCATTAAAATTGCCTGGCTGCCGCTGGCTTGCTTTTCCTTCTGTTTCTTGCTCTTCCTTGTTTAAAACTAAACCTGGCGCCCCTGTCTGTGGTCCCTGAATGTCTATCAGGAAAGGCCCCATATGGGAATGAGTCCCCTCTGTTCCTCTTAGGAGTGATCTCATTTTTATTCTACATTCCAAGTATTTTTGTGACTGTGAAATAATAGTGATGGATTTCTGGGAAAATGACCACATACCATGCCCGTGAGGACCTCATACCTGACTCACCAGAGTATATAAGGAAGCTCTGAAGCTGGCGACCTAAAAGGGGGAGACTTAATCCAGAGTCAGCAGGTTAGTCCTCTCTGCTGTGGAGAGGTGCTGAGAACCGAGAGCATCCATCAGGCAGCAAGCAAGAGCCAAGCAGGTGATCCAAAAGGCTTTTGATACAGGAAAAGAGGGAAGCAGGAGCTGATGTGTTCCAGGAAGACCCCAGGGGAGCTGCTGTCAATGTCTCTTGGAGCACAGCCCTGCTGTCCAGAGAAGGAAGAGCCTCTCTGAAAGGTGGAACCAGTCCCAGCAGGTGGTAGTGTGTGTACTTTAGGTAAACAGGATAAAGTGGAAAGAAGAAGGCACAGCAGAAAGACTTCTGGAGGCTGAGGGGCATAGGGACTTCAAGGATCATGAAAGTGACAGGAAAATCCCGAAAAAACGAGTGGGAATGAACAGCATAAGCAAGATCAGAGCAGGTGGTCGGACCCAATGAAGCTCAGATAAGGGCTCTTGAATGAGACAGGCCACGATCAGGGCTATCGGAAAGTACAGAGCAGAAGTCGGAAAGCATTCTGGAGGTCAGAGGGAGTGACCAGAGCGCCAACCAGGGGCAACATGAGGAAGTAGTTGCCAGGTTGCCAGATTAATTACATTCTCTGCCCTTTGGTCCTGAACAGCGAGCCAGCCTAAATCTACTTGCTACTTAAAGTTTAAATAGCTACTTAATCACCTGTGTTCAGCCCCAGACCAGGGCAAGCTGAGAGCAGGAGCAGGGCAAGGACTTAGGAAGTTACATCAACTAAGTTAAACATTGTGCAAGACTTTGGTTTGAATTAAGATACGAAGTCTGAAGTGTGCAGACTCTGCCACCTCTTTTCCTTTATGGTTTTATTTTTTCTTAGTTTCCCAGAAAAAATCATTTCTGAAAATTCCAACCTCTTCCAAGCTGAATGACAGGAAAATCACAGGATGGAGTAAACTGTGAAACAGCTGTGATATGGACCCTTCCACTCAGTGGGTTCTTTTATTGGCTGATTCCGTGTCCATCTCTTCCCCGCCCCCCACCTTTTGTTTTATTGAGTCCCACTCAAATAAATCACTTCCCTCAAAACAGTGTTGGTAGGGAGTTTAGTTTATCACATTCTCTGTTTCTTCTTGCAAATGTGAATGGGTCTCATTTACTCATTTATTAACATGCCAAGGGCTGAGCTAAATGCACAATTTCAATTCAAGCTGGTCTCTGCCCTAAAGGAGTTTGCAGACAAGTGAAGAAGCAGACAAGTGCTAAACTTACCCATTCTCATGGACTTAAATGCCATCTGTTATATTTATGATGAAATGACATGTGTACAAAGATGTTCCTTACAGCATTTTTTATAATAGCAAAAGATGGAACCAACCCACATATCCACCTGTAAGGAAATGGTCAAATACATTACATTTGCCTCATGCAATGGAATTATATACAGCCCTTTAAAAGAATGAGTTACTTTTATATGCACAGATCTGGAAAGATCTCCATGGTATATTAACTGTTTAAAAAGGCAGCAGAGACATGTGACTGTCATGTACAATGTAATGTGTTTGTGTGTGAAGGAAAAAAGAACATGTACACATGCTTGCAAGGCTCTGGATATTAAATTTTATTCTTCATTGAATTTTTTATTCCTAGCATACAATTGATTAAAACAATGTAAAAGTGAAATGTTATTAAAATGCATTTCTTAATAAGATGGATGGGAATCTTTTTTTTTAATTAATGGCTTCATGAATTCCTGGATGAATATTCTTTATTGCTAGGATGAGCTAAAGTTCAGCTTCAATACTATTTCAGTTTTTTTGTTTTTACAGAAATAAGTGCTATGTATTAGAAATAAACCCTGTTCATATATATTAGTAGATAAGAAGGGAAGAAATGTTATATAGCAATGGCACTCCGTTCTTTGAACAGTTTTTGAGTCATATGCCAAAAAAATCACAGAATGCTTGATCATTTAATGATTTTCAGCTGACAGCCTCAATCACCACATTAAAAGAAATGTTGAAAGGAAAAAATTGAAAACCCTCTGACTTTTTAGAGGACGTGTTATCCATTAATTAGAGGAATCACTTTGTCAACTTTGTTGATTCCAATACCAACAATTTGATTTGCTCTTTTATTTGGTTCCCAGAGATGTTCCAAGGCAGTGATATAGGAGGTATGTTTTTTATTTTTCACAAGTGAGAGAAGGTCTGTGAAAGGAGAGATATAAACGGACAGCCTGCACCTCCATTATGTGCAAATTCTTACTATGATCCATTTTAGAAATAGAACTTTTTGGAGTTGAGGATCCTGAAATTAATGTCCATAAATCTTAGCCTTGGCCAAGTGCCCTTTAGGTATCTTGGAAAGCGCCCCAGAGGTTCGAGTGCCCCAGTTTGGATACATCCTCACTAGCTAATAAGTTTACCTGTGTAACCTAGATAGTAAAGGGTACCTTCCCCATCCTAGTTCTCGGTTGTACAATTCCATCATTAGGGCGTCTTTTCTTCATGGGCTCGTTTCGTAAAGCTTATATGTATGGAAAGATCCTGCCTTATCCTGGATGGACCTCAACCATCCTCACTTGGCTGTTTTTCTCCATTCTGACGGACATTCAGAAAACTAAGGTGTGGGTGTGGACTTTTTAGTTTGGCATTTCTGTCATTTGACCTCTAAATTCTTTAAATTATTACCACGGTTCAGTAATACTGACTATAGGTTTGTTTGTTCCTTTCCAGTTTTGCATTCAGAGATTTATCAACTTTGTGGTCAAACTGGGTAAGTTTCCCGCTTGGTCTGCTACTGGAGAGTATAAAAGAAATGGACTTTCTCTGAGGGTTTAAGAGCAAGTGATGAGGGACTTTCCTTGCTTTCTCTGAGGGCTGGACAAGAACAGCTTTTAATCTACTGCAAACAGGGTTTTATTCCTAATACTAACCTTCAGGGCCAATCCTATAAAATGATGGAGTAAACCTAACTGGAAGGTCTTGGTGACCTTCTCACCAATCTCTCTCCTCCGTTTTAGCACATTGCCCGCCTCCCCACTCTATGCACATACTTTTTTTTTTTAATTCCTTCTCTCCTACACCATCAACTCTCCCTCCCTTTACTTGGCTCTGCTCATTAAAATTCTACTTCCACATTGTGGCTTATTTCAGCCTAAGTGCTTGGAGGAGGGCAGTTTGAATGAAGATCTTATTAAACTGTGAATGACTGACAGCTCTCCCAAGAGCATTTGCAATTTTTAGGAGTTTATTAACACAAGTGAGCTTAAATGGATGGAGGTTTGGATAACATGACAATGTAAAATTTGAGGGAAATACAGTGAATTTGAGTTGAGAAACCTCTCCACGGTCTCCTAAGTCTTATCCCATAGCAAGTAACAAATGCCACCATTCACTCCACTTCTGCAAGAGATTGGCCCTTCCTGAGAACCTGGGGCAAGTCCAGGAATAGTTTTAAATTTATTCTTGGCCGACCTCCCACCTTCCTTTCAGAGTCTTTCTGCCTCTTCCTGGCAACTCCTCCCAAGCCCTAAGCATCTATTATGTTTAATGTACCCCTCATTCTCGCAGGGTTTTCAGCTAGATTTCTTAATCCTTCAAAGAGAATACTTCCCATTTGCTTTTGGATGACTTTTGTCATATTTGTGTGCCACCAGTACTGTTATTAACAATTACTATTCCCTTGCCCTAAGCAATACCTTTCCCAAAATTGTGGGTTTGGTATATGTTCCTAAAGTGCATTAAAGTAGTTATTGAACTATTAAATTTTTTTTAAAAGAACTAAAAGTTTACCTGTATGTGTAAGATCTCTTTGCACACCAGCAGTGATACTGCAATAGTTTTGTAAAATACAGCTCTAAGATACTACCTGAAAGGATTTACTCTTTTGCCAGAATATTGGCATTATGAAAGAGGCTCTTGAAGATAACGTTTATGATCGAAAAGATCTTATCTTTAAAGAGTTCATTTCTGACTTTCTTAGAGGTTGAACTTTTCATGGTTTAGTCAAAGAGAGACTTATCTTTTTTTCCTTCCAGTTTCATTGAGATAAAATTGACATACAGCATTATATAACTGTTTCTGTTTTATGTCTGTTCATGTGTTGTTTTTAGATTCCACATATAGGTAAAATCATACAGGATTTGTCTGTCTTCATCTGACTTATTTCACTCAGCATAATACCTTCTGGGTCCATTGGTGTTGTCACAAATGACAAGACTTCACTCTTTCTTTATGGCTGAGTAATATTCCACTGTGTGTACAAGAGATTTAATAAACATGACAAAGTCTTATCATGAAGGTAACTCCTTCTTCCACCATTCATAATAAGCTATTCATAATAAGGCCATTTTGCATTAATCACACTATAGTCTAGATATTTAGTCATGCTAATATTTTCCTTCCCAATGTTCAATTATTACTGTAACAAAGTTAACTTAGCAAAAGAAAGTTACGTCTCATACCTTGGATCCAAAAGCAATAGCCAGTTAAGAAAACAAGTATCTTTCTCTCTCTGCTGTATTCTGGGTTATTTCCTTAGGTCTACCTTCAAAATCACTAATTCTATCTTTAGCTATGTTTTCTACAATTTAGTTTTACTGATTATATATTTTCATTTCCAGTATTTCTTTTTGGCTTTTTTCCCCCAGATCTTCCTGTTCTGTATTTATATGCCCTTCTCTTAGCTTATGGCTTCTATTCTTTCTTTTATTTCTGTGAAGTCTCTTTCAGAATTTTGTGTCGTCTGTTCTCAGGATGTGAAATTTGTCAGTTACACATTCACTGACTCCCTTGCAGTTTCTTTTTCCTCGTGTGCTTTGTCATTTTTAACTCTGAACTCATCTTCACAGATAGTTGTTTTCTGGGGAATCCATTGTGCTATAGGTTGTGAGATGTCCTGTCAAGTGGTTTTACATTTGTCTCTGCTGGGACACTATAGTTTCACCCTTTCTAGCCAGGCTTTATGTATATTTCTTAGTATGGTTCCTATACCAAGTGCATAATGTAAATGTGGATCCAGCATTCATATATGGTACAAGCTTGGGGTTTCTTTCATATGATCCTTTTCCATCCACAGCCCTGGCAGATGTCAGGCTTCCTTACCAGTGGGCCAGTTTTTTTTTTTTTTCCTGTTGCTTTTCATAGAAGGCTAGCTACCAGTTTTACACTGGGAGTTTAATTCCAGCTCCTTGATATGTACAGACTCAAGGCTTCACCTTGCTCTCCTGTCCCAGTCTAAAACAGCAGCGCAGGGTCATAAAACACCTTACATAGTGCATTTCTCAGGGACTTCTTAGATGTGCTCAAACTGAATTCTGTCCTAGTGATGAAGTCCTGCATCATTCAGTCCACACAGTATATAGCTGAATCAGATTATCCTCGTGGACCATTTGGCTTCAGCTCCTCCTCACCACTCTGACCTCTTCATTCCTGATACTTCTTGTTCCTCCTTACTTTTAGGATTGATTTTGAATCTCGCATTGTTCTGTCTTACAGTTTGTCAATTTGTTAAAAAGTTTCCAGCATTTCTATGTGCTTAAAGCAGGAAGAGGGATTTCCTATGTCCATTCAGTCTGCCATATTGACTAGAAATGTTCCCATATTTTAGTTCTATTTTATCCTATCACAGTAATCACTGTAAGAATTTGATCTCTTCTTTAGGGTGTTTGTGGCAAAGTGGACAATCTGAGCCATGTTTCCTCACTTATATTTTCCTGTCTAGGTTTCGGAGTGTCACAGACCAAAGCCGTCATGACTCTTGTCTCTGGGATTCCAATGGGCCCACCCCGGCTTCCACTACAGAAAGCCTCCAGGGAATTTACTGATCATGCGGAAGCTAAACTGAAAAGCTTGGATTTCCTTTCTTTCACTGATTTAAAGGATGGAAACTTGGAAGCTTGTAGCTAGTGCCTCTCTCTCAAATCAGGGCGTGTACATTGAGATATAGTTCACCTTGAGGAGTGCGTTCATTTTCAAGGACTTTTTAGATGAACTTGAACTAAACTCTCCTAGCAAATGAAATCAACAAGTATTTAAATATCTACTGTAGTCCTTTAAAAGTTTTCATTTATAAAGGGGCAAAAATTCTAAAAGGAGTCATGAGTCCTAATTCATTCAATATTTCACAAAATTTTTATGGAGAAATGTTTGCTTATATGGATGAGATGGAATCAAGAGGAGAATTGTAATTGATTAATTCCAACTGCCTTTGGGAGCTTCCATTATCTTGATTTCTGGTTCTTAATCCTATTTTAAAGTTTTCTTATTTTGAATCACTATAATGTACTTTCTTTTTAATAAATATTCCTTTGGAATCTAGGACAACTCTCAGCTGTTGCATTTAGGCACACTAACTTCAATGCCAAATTACAACTTGACTCAACTGGGCACAACTACTAACACATCAGTTAACTTGGCTGCTCTATCTAACTCTCGAATATCTATTTTTAGATTGCTTACAATGTCATAGTTTTCTCCCAAAACATTGGGTTAGGTGAAGACTTGCTTCGTTTACTATAACTGAAGGGTCCATTAGGGTGGTTTTCACATAACAAAGGAAAGGCCTTCCCCAAAGATGAATTCAAGTCTCTACCTGTTGCTGTGGAGAACTTCTCAAAGCTCAAAGTTTCACAGGACCAAGGAGCTTTCTTCTCTGGGCACCACAAACTTCCCCTTCCCTCACTGAGAAGAAAGTGTCCTCGGACGGAGCCCTGAATTATTGAAAGTGAAAGCCATCATCCTTTCTGCATTGAGCCCAGGGGCCACCGTTATTTCCCAATCACATTTTCAAGCAGTCACTTTCCAGTGATAAAAGACTTGGGGACAACTCAAAGATGTCACTTTAGCTTTCTCAATACACCTTCTTTACCTTTGTCTTTCTCTGAAATAGATCACTGCTGCTCTGTCTCCTCTCTGACAAACCCTGCTTTCTAGCAACAAGGTATATTGATGGTCAACCCTTAGTGATTTTAAACTTGACTATCCAGTCTGTTAACTACATAAGATTTAATTTTGTTTCCCGTCTAATTGGTCTGCTCATTGGCAGAGGGAAAGGATTTGAAAGTCGTATCAGTTTACTCTATTTTTTTTAATTTTTAAAGTTAAAAAGAACCTTTTTCAAAATGAAAATTGGGAGTTATCAGTGGATTCAGTCATCTTGCTAACCACTCTCTTTAATTGGTCGGGTAGTTAATAATTGTTATGTCTCCTCACTCTTCTTTTGGCCCAGGAATGACACACTGTTTTCTCATATTTCTGTCTCCTTTAGGATATCTGAATTAGAAACTGAATCACAGTGACCTATGTGAGCTTGTGTTCTATCTCACTGAAACTTTTCTCTGCAGCTGTTAATTTCCTAAAAGAAGAAAACTGAGGTTTTTGTTACAGTCATTGGTTCTGAGGATACAAAAGCCAACATAATTTTTCAATGAAGATAAATATTGGATATCTGCTAAGCAAAGAATTCTGTTTTTTCTCTTTTTCACTCTTTTGAAATCAGTGCTTGGAGAACTTTTAACATGATTAATAAGATCGTGTGAACAGAAAGAGAAATATGATGATTAAACAGAATGAACAGGGCTGAGTTTAGCACTATATATTTGAACTTTCAACTCCTTAGAAATGAATATTATACAGCAGTAAGTTACTACTAATGCCTTTAATCAACAGTGTAATTTTGGAATGATATGAATTTTTTGTTATCTTTGAATTTAGTTTTTAATGTTATAACTGAAGTAATGATGTGACTATTTTGTTGATCACAATACTAAAAGCTGATTTTTAACATCTTTTCCAAGATGGAAATCTGAAATTAGTTCACTGGAGATGGTTGGAAGGACTAAGTAATTTCAGGGACTAGTTTTTGCTTAGGATCTCTCTTGGGTTTGTTTATTCACAGACGTAGGAAAATGCCATGGTGGTGAAGTGGGGCAAGTAGGTAATACAGGTTCTTCCCCAGAAAGGCTGTCTGCCACAACTTGAGAGAAATTTCCTCCTTATAATCTCCTGAAGGGCACAGAAAATCCCTGCTCTTAGGAATTTGAAGACTAAGAGAAGGCTGGGCTGGACTGAGGGACTCTCTAGAGTAACTCTGTAACCCAAGGCCAGGCACCCACCTGGGTTTGCCAGAACTTTTCATTTTGGGGGTTACCGGAGTGGGACCTATATGCCCATCAAATCAAGAAGAGCAAACAACAGATGTAACCCATTTAATCATTCCCCTTATCACTTGCTCACTCAGCCCTCAATTTCCTTCATTTAAACTAAGAAGGAAACTTGGAACCAAAGTTATGCAAACAGCAGAAGCGAAGACCTGCCGGGGCATCACCAGCTAAGAGGTGGGGCATCACCTTGCACCTGGGGCTCTGGGGCTGAGAAATGGCTACCTGGTGGACAAAATAACCTACCCAAGTCATGTGTTCTGTCAACCCCTTTGGTGACTCTTAGGAAATCATTTGATACAGAGGACACTTCAGCATTTTAAGTTAGAGAACCGAAAGAAAAACCTCACAGGAATTTCTTAAATCTTAATCACATAATTAGTAAACATAATGAAATGGTGTCTACAGAATGTTAAATACAGCAAATTTGTATTTTGCTGTGCGCTCCAATCTGAGAGTCATTTTCCCTCAGTAGGCAGGTATATCCCATTTACCCTTGTTCAAAGTTTTTTAAAGTAGTTTGCAGAGGATCATATTATTTTGTTTGTGCAAATATAATACATTCTATACTATAACCCATAGGAATTACAGATTCTGGATATGTGAAACTATTTAACACTGAAAAAAAAGTATAATCCCGGAACTTTATAGAAATGTATTAGTATCAGTGAAAGCTGGTTTGAAGCAGGCAACGCAAAGCTCAGACATACAAATGCATGGGGAGACAGAGCCTCACAAGTTAACACGGGAACCATAAACGCCAAAGGGAATACGCTGGTTCCTTGACGACATAAGTAAGAAGCAAATGAAACTCAACTAAACTAATTCCAATAGAATAAAGGCAGAGAAAGCAAATACAGCTGGAAAAGTGGAACAAAGCAAGTTGCAAAATCCAGTGAACTTAAATTTAAGTTTCTGTCCAGGTGGCCAAGGAACTTGTAGATAAATAAATGGTTCAGTGGAAACTGATACAATGGATAAGGAAAACCAACACATGTGAATGACTCCCAACGTCATCCTTGCTTAGCAAAAAAAAAAAAGCAAATATTCACTGCTATGTCTGCACAGCAAACCATAAAAAACAACTTTGAAAGCAATTAGCATTTCAGTGAATACCATGACTATATAACAGGGAGGAAAATAATTTTAAAGGTACCACATACATTTTTTTATTTCGTCCTCAAAGGCTTGGACACTCATTTCTGCTAGAATCCAGATTATGCACTTCATCTGTGACATTCATTGCACTAAAAGAGTCATTAGTCCTTTACATCTTAAGCCATTATTAGTACCATTATTAATTCCACTTTTAAAAAATGAGTGAACTCTTCTCTTGTTTTATATATTGCATTTTTGTCTTCTGGCACGTTTCAGGCCCTTGTCCTTACTTTATCCAAAACTGCATATTGTTTGCTCAGTGGGCGCCCACAGTTCCATTCATCAGTCTCTTTCTCGGGGTCTACAACGTTGAGTTTGAACTTCACGTTAGACCAAGGCCTCCTTGACTTTTGAGCCATGGGTTACTATAGTAACACATTCAAAACCAGACCTTAAAAGAATAATCTAGACTCTGGCTCTGATCAGCTCTGTGTTTTGTGGCTTTTTATTTTGCTAACAAAACTCTGACTAGAGGGTGAAATGTGCATCCTTACTAGGATGCTCTGGGTGGGCACAGTTTGTCCCTAACAGGTGACACATCACTTTTTCTGTTCTGGGACATACTGATCTTTGCAGCTCACCCTGGATCCCTTACCTGTATACCTCTTCCCATCTCGCTCTTGGTGGGGCCTCAGCCTTTCAACCGTACATGGTACAAAGAGCACAATTTTCAGATGCTGTATTTTTTGTTTCTTTTTCTAAAATATGTTATATGCCAGGTATCGAACTTTACATGCTTATTTATTTATTTATTCTTTATAATTACCTTATGATATGGGTACTGATATTTCATCGAGTCTAAGATGTTTTTGATGGTAAGACATAATTATTTTATGAACCTCTAAGAAAGAAAAATACTGGTACAATGTGACAGATCTCATTCCAGAGATATCAAAATGGTTTTTTAAAGTTTATTTTAGAAGTGATACAATATATCATCTTCCTATTTTTAAGATGAATTATGGCAAAGAGAAGTTATATATCTTCATCAAGGTCATACATGGTCTGTGACTGCTGGAGTATGAATCTAAACTGGGTAACATCATACTATATTTTACATTAAGAGTTTTAAAACCGTATGTCCACTTTTAACAGCACCTCTGAGCCAGTTATCCCTAAGATTCAAGCCCAAGGACCTACTGATGTAGTAGAGAGTTGGGTTCAATACAGAATGAAATAACAAACAGTATAACATGGTTGAGTGGAAGGCAGGATTGGCCTTGTGCTTATATGTATGACCTCAGGCTGCGTGGGTTTAAGTCCCAGCTCCACCACGTACTATCCGTGTGACGACAATGTGTCATTTAATTTATCAGCCATTCACTCATCTCATGGGTAACATGACAATTATAATATCTGCCTCCTGGGGTTATTATGAGGATTACAAAAAGTAATACATACGAAGTTCTTAGAATTGAGTCTGGCACAGCCTAAGCACAGTGAAGTGTTAGTTATTGTTAGTTTTTATAGCTATCCGAGGCATTCAGTATATGTTCTTTATACACCGGAGAGAAACAGCACATTGCTGTGCTGCTAAACCTTTTAATTTAATAGCTGGCAAAATAAAGTTGAAAATAATACTAAACCCAAGAACTGAAATAGAAGCTTGCATTTATTATTACCAGAGCCCGGATCATAGTGCCACCCTCAGATTTTTTTCCTAGGTTCAGAATTTTCGATTGTGCTTCTAACAGTAGAGGATGGGGAATGGAAAATAGCTGTGGGCTCTTCAATGACCCATTCATCACTGTTTGGAACAGTGATAAACACAATGAGAGCGCACCTTTTACTGAGTGATTTTAGAGGAACAAGCAGATCAAAGAGGCATAGATGAAAAAAGTTACCATCACTGAAAGATTTGAAGTATTGCCGTGTATATGGGATAGGGAGGTATGTGACATGACTTTTTGCTTTAAAACTGTCACTCTTGAAGCAGTAGGAGTAGTAGATTGGAAGACAGAGACTAGGAGCAGGTGAACCCTTCAGTGACCTGTTGTTACCAATGGTGGAGCCCCCAAATAAGGAAGTGGCAGCAGGGATGGAGGCGAGGGAATGGAATGAAAGATATTTAGAAAGAAGAATCAACAGAACCTAGAGATGGAAGATACAGTTAGCCCTTTGTATCTGTGGGTTCCACATCCAAGGAGTCAATCAACTACAGAAGGGAAATATTTTTAAAAATCTAGAAGGTTCCAAAAAGCAAAACTTGAATATGCCATATTTACATAACATTTACATTGTATTTACAACTATTTACATAGCATTTACATTGTATTAGGTATTGTAAGAAATCTAGAGATGATTTAAAGTATACAGAAGAATATGCTATAGGTTATATATATATATATAGGCAATTACTATGCCATTTCGTTTAAGGCACTTGAGCATCGTGTATTTTGGTATCTGCAGAGTCCTGAGACCAGTCTCCTGTGGATACCAAAGGACAATTGTACTTACATTTGTTATTTATTTTGTGTAACAAATCACCTCTAAACTTAGCAGCTAAAAACTGCAAACATTTATTAACTCACACAGTTTCTGAGGATCAGGAATCTAGGAGCAGCTTGACTGGGAGGTTCTGGCACAGAGTTTTTCAAAAGGTTGCAGTCAAGCTATTGGCTAGAGCTTTATCATCTCAAAGTTCAGCTGGGGCTGGAGAATCTGCTTTAAGTTTCACTTTCATAGTTGTGGGCAGGCCTTGGTTCCTAGCTGGCTGTTGGCCAGAGGTGGCGCACAAGGGAGCCAGAGCTCAAAATAGAAGGCACAGTCTTCTCTTCTCTTCTCTTCTTCTCTTTTCTTTTCTTTCTTTTCTTTTCTTTTTTTCTTTTCTTTTCTCTTTCTTTCTTTTCTTTTCTTTTCTTTTCTCTTTCTTTTCTTTCTTATTTTATTGAGTTATAGTCAGTTTACAATGTTGTGTCAATTTCTGGCACAGTCTTTTAAAGCAGTCTCAGAAGTGGCCTGCCATCCCCTTTAGGATGCTATTAGTCAAAAAGACCAACCCTAGTCGGGGTAGGGGGTATAGCTCAGTGGTAGCGTGCATGCTTGGCATGCATGAGGTCCTGGGTTCAATCCCCAGTGCCTTCCTTAAGTGAAAAAAAAAAAAAAGAATAACCCTAGTACAATGTAGGATGGGAATTTCAGGAGGAAAGGATCATTGTTGGCCATGTTGACGGTTGCCTACCATAGTAATAAAGGAATCAGGAGTGACATCCAAGAATCAAAACCTGTGGGACATTATGTAGGGAGGCCCACCAAGCATTTACATATGTTGATCTGAAGCTCAAAAGAAAGTTTGGATAGGAGATAGAGGTTTAGAGGAATATAGATGGTAGTTGAAACCATGGGAAAAATAAGGTTGTCCAGGCAGAGGGTACGCAAAGTGCTCAGAACAGAGCCTGGGTATGACTGGTACTTGGTGTGCTTACAGAGGAAGCTGCATACGAGTCTGCGATGGAGGGATCAGGAGGGATCAGAGACATAACATGGGAGCGGAGCCATGCTCAGAGGAACTCCAAAGGCCTCAAATATGAGGGGTAGTGATGCTAAGAGCTTTCCTTCAGGAGTTTCATCCTTGGAGAAGAATGTAAAGCCCAGAGAGAAACAGATACTTGGCAAATGTCACAAGCCCCAAGGGACCAGGGTCTCCCAACCACACTGACGGCTTCTTTGAAGTGTGGAAAGCCCTGGAACCTCAGCAGCTGGGTACCATGTGAGGTTCCACTCCCAACCACCTCATCATAGGCTGAGCCCCAGGCTCAGGACCCAGGCTCCAGGGCAACTCGGAAGCAGCACAACTTACCACGGACTTCCTGGGCTACAGGGCAGGAGGCCAGAGCTGGAAGACCAGCATCCACTCCATCCTGGCTCAAGGGAAGGAAAGACTCAACCCAGGGCAGTGGAAGGACTTCCCCAGACCAAGGCCAGTGAGCTGGTAAATGGTTGCTACCCTCTGCTCTGGCAGAGGATGGGGGGAAAAGCCCAGATTTGTAGTGTTCGCCCATTTCTGTGGTCCAAATATTCCCATGAGATGGAGATCAAGACGGCAGAATAAGAGGATGTGGAGCTCACCTCGCTCCACAAACACTTCAAAAATACATCTACATGTGGAACAATTCTCACAGACAACTAGCTGGAAACCAGCAGAAAAATTCCTATAAAACTAAGGCTGCAAGAAAGACCCCCATGTAATCAGGTAAGGTGGGAAGAAAAGCATCAGGCTGGGACCTGTAACCCATCAGGGAGGGGACTAAGCAGAAAAGGGAGCTCACACAGGTCGACACTAGCCCTGGGGAGTGAGTGGGTTGAGCCCAGACTGGACATCCCAGACGTGAAAGAGACAAGCCCCTTTAGCTGCTTGTAGAATGGCCGGGACAGATAACAAGGCTGGAGAAACCTAGACTCCACTCGTGAGGAGTGCGCAGATGCTGGCACAGATGCTTGCCATCAGACAGGGCGGAGAAAGGTCTGCCACGGCAGCTGCCTCCTTACCGTGCTCCCCAATATGAGCTGGGAGAACACCCCGGCCCCACTTACTCCGCACCACAGCTTGGCAGTGGACTTCGGGCAGGCAGGACCTGGGAAAAGACTTGATCTAGGGATGCAGAGGCAACCCAGGGGTCCGGGGAGTGGTCCAGGTGGGGCATGAGTGGATATTGTTGGCAGTTACTCAAACAGCGCCACAGAAGCAGCCCAGCCTCTGAGGTCAGCAAGGCTGCTTGAACTGCAGGGACCCCCAGTCTCAGCCTGATGAACGCCCTGACTCCACCCACTCTGCACCAAAACTTTCCATTGGATGTGCGATGACCATAAATGTGTGTGTGTATGTGTGTGTGTGTAAGGAACCGGCTTGTTTGATTTTGCCAACATTGTTTGACTAGCACCTGCCTTCTCTGCAGAATGATTGGATCAGTCTACTTTTTTTACCAGCTGGGCATGGTGAATCTCATGTCACCACATCACCACCAATCCTTGACATTATTTTCTTTTCTAATTTTTGCCAGTCTAGTGGGCATGTGGTGGTATCTGATTGATGTTTTAATTTCTTGATTCCTCTTACTAATGCATTTGAGCACCTTGAATATACTTTTGGTTTTTCTCTTCTGAAAATTACTTCTTTGTGTCCTTTGCCCATTTTTCTGTGAGGATTGCTACATTTGTTGTTGTTGTTGTTGGTTTGAAGGAATTCCTTGAATAGTCCAGAAAAGGCAGTCATCTCTTGACAACCTGAAGCATCATGAGTATCTTCCCCTACTCTGCCAACGGTTAACTTCCTTCATGGTGTCCTTTACCGAGCAGATATCCTTGCTTTTCATATAATCAGCACCTTTAGTTTTTTGCCTTATGGTTTGTACATTGTTTCTTTAAGATGAGTATTTTTTTTATAGATCTTTCCCATCACCCTGTGTGATATCCAGGTTCCATGGACACACTTGTGAAAGCGCCAGAAGAATTTGGCTACAGGATAACCTGGACTGGAAACCTCCCGGGAATACAGAGAGAACCCACCTTGCCTTCCTCTGGAGATCTTGCCTTTCTACCCTGTACTTTCACTTCTTTTGCCTTTTTATATGCTCTTAATGTAAACCTACCACTTTTAATCTAATTTATTCTGGGTTTGAAAGTAGAAAGAGTATAATGATTCTGGGAGAATTCTGAGTACAAGGACCTTCAGCCTATTCAGCATATAGGCAACTTCCTGTGACTCCAAAGTCTAGCCACTCAAGCTGTTAGGAAATCTCTGTGAGCCTTTAAAAGGACAAAAACAAAAACAAACAAACAGATTTTAGCCCCATCTGGATACCGCATTGTATGTACTAGTACAGGAGTGTTGAAAGGCACAAGTGTTACTGGTTTTCACAAGCTTGTGAATGGGCTCAAAACTTCACCAGCTCTGGCCTCCTCAAGACATCATGACCTTGCTTAAACCCTAGCTCTGGTACTGGGTTTCTTATTTAGTTCCTCCTCCCCTAGCCCTTTGCTATTTTGAGAAACAGAGGAACCAAAACATTCTCTCCCCTTTCCCACCATCCATTTCAACAATAACAGTCAGTTATAACCATCTCATTCTCCTTGCCGGAAACTCTGCCTCAGTCTGTTGGATTGGCAGAAATAACAAATAACATGAGAAACTCTGACAGTTTTTTTTCCTATACAACCCACAGATTGAATTTTATATGTATTTTTATAATCTTTATTTTTTACTACACTCAGAAACTAAGTTGATTGATTCATAAATTATTTCTAGCCAAAAAAAGTAAACAGGAAATATTAATTAGTACAGTTGAAAAAGACTTTTCATTATTTGATTATTAAAAGCAACCTGTAGACTCAGTTTCAAATTCTTAGGTAGGAAGAATTTCTTGCTTATTTTCTTATCAAGCTTAAAAAAGTTCCTACACTGTTCTATGCTGCTTTGCTAGCCTCTGTAGTCTTCTAGATAATCATATACTGGGAACAACTGATGGCTGTATTGAACTCTGTCCACTCTTTGTACTTCCGGAGCATGTTTTGATGCTTCTTCTGCAAATGTTAAGGAAGATCTTAGAAGGTGCTAGTTGCTAAGGGTAACCTACAAAGGTAATGCCAGTCATGGCTCCCAATCCCCTGGTGACTCTAGGTCTCAGGTGCAAGGCCTAAATTAAGAGCCAAGTCAATGATAAAATTCTCTGTAATCCTTGAGGGCTAAAGATCCCCTTCGGGAAAGTTTATTTACACTTAATATGTTGACACTTTTGCTGTGCTCATTAAATACTACAAAACACTTGCAATCCATTTATGCCAGTTGGGTTTCCCTTATCATAAATATCAGGCACCTGCTGCTTTAAGCACCCTGAAAAGGATAGAGAAAAGATTCAGGTGTTTCCCTAAATGATTTTATTCCTAGTTGAAGAGAGCAAACACATGCAGAAAATTTTAAAATGAGTAAATGCTAAACTCTGTTATTCTGATTGTAGAAGCAACAGAGTTTTAAAGGGCTTAATCACAGTGATCTGCTAGAGTTAAGAAAAAACATAATGAAAGAGGTGAAAAATAAGGACGGTAGGTTTGATGGGGCCAAATAATTGATTAGTCTGGATTCTCTGGAACAACTCCAACTTGAAATTTTGTGTGTTGTTGCCTTCGTATGACAAACTAACGTTCAAAACTTTAACAGTGACTACTACAATAGTTAAGGATACAAATTGTTCCAAAGACTGAAGACAAAAGGATATCCAATTTGGGCAAAAACAACCTTGCAGGTTTTATCTATTCGTTAAACTAGTTTTTACTGAGCACTTGATGTGCCCAGCCCTAGCCGTGCAGGGTTCCTTCCTTCCTGAGCTTACTTCTCTTTCAGGAGACATTCGCGTTAGAGTGTCTGAACCACTACAGTAACAACGCCTATTATGTGCCAGGTACTGCGTTAAGGTCCCTTCACATGCCATCTCATTTAATCATCCCAACAACCCTAGAAAGTTTGCACCTGAGGTTTCCGGTTCTGTCTTCGAAGGGCACCTCATCTACCAGGGGTCCCTATGATAGAAGCTGCAAAACATTTTGCTGCATCAAAATGCTATAGATCCCTAACGCCCCAAAACGTTCAAAAGTAGGTAGCTCACGGCAGGAAGAAGCCTGGTGGGGGTGCAGCCAGCAGGCACAGTCTCCCAGGCGACGGGACGCTTCCAGCCGCTAGGTTGCCGTAGCCCCTCCCCGCCCCCGGGGCGCCCTCGGGCCCAAGCCCGCCTTCCGCGCATGCGTAGCGCGCTGACCCCGCCCCCTTGGCGCCGCGGCCGGAGCCATTTCGCCGCCGCCTCCATGCAAGTTGAGGTGCGCTCGCCGGTTGTCTGTGGAGAAGACAGGAGTCGCGGACTATCCTGAGAGGGCTGTGCTCTCGGGCACTAGGAGGCGGACGCCGGTAAGGAAAGCCGTCCTTGTCACCCGTTGGGGCGGCAGGGGTGCCCGCGACTCTGCAGCCGGGCTTTGTTGCGAAGCGCGGGCCGGGTGGCGGGTGGGGGGAGGGGGAGGGGAGCCGCCCCGCTGGGTTCCCGGATTGCGGGCTGCTCCCCGCGCCGCGCTGCCCGGGGCCGCCAGTTGTTCGCCCGGCCGTTCGGGGTCCAACTTCCTTCCTCGGCCTGCACGCGGGGGTGGCTCTGTTGCCGCGGCGCGGAAGCGGGGGTGAATCCCCTGGGGGTGGGTCCGCCGAGGCGCCACCCACGCCTGGATCCCTTCGTTCATTCATTCTTGCCGCAAGCAGTGGGTGCTGTCCTGCAGGCGTGGATAGAGCAGTAAGCAGGTTAGGCATGGTCCTGCCCTTCCTTCCCAGAGGTGGGGGTGGGGGGGCAATAGGCAAACATGCCTGCAGGTTTGGGTAAAAAAATCGTGAGAATTAGCGTAAAGGGAGAGAGCTACTTTATACAGAGTGGAGGGGAAGGCTTTTTTGAGGAGGTAGAGATCTTTGAGCTGATGTCTCCGGAATGCGTCAGCTATGAAGATGCGGAGAAAAGCAGATGTCCACTGAAATAAATGCACTGCCTGAAAGTTGAAAGTTATGTTTTATTTGGCGGACATTTCTGAGGACTCACACCCCTTCGACCGGGTTAACAGCCTCCCAGGTCGCTCTGAGGGACTGCTCCAAAGAGATAGGGGAGGAGCTAGGATATATAGGAGTTCTACAACAAAGACCAGGCAGTCCGAACATTAAAAATTACTTGTTAACTGAAGAAAGCCAGACATCTCAAGTTAAAGAATTTAGCTCTGCTCTATGTATGGGAGGGAGCAAACATTTGGGCTTATTGAAATCATTCCTTTGACAAGCATTTAGCTATCTAGGGCCAGTATCCTGTCCTTTCATATTTTAAGTCCTCTCAGGCTGCAGAAGCTGAGCTGCAAGCTTATCTTCACTGTGAGGGCTGGTGGCAGTGGCTGATGATTTGATGGCTTTTACTGATAGGGCTTGCAATATTTTTGGTTCACACAGAACAGCAGAGAAAGAAGGGATTAGTTAGTGTTTACTGGCCGAGATCGGAAAGAAACCGAAAAAAGGCCATGTGACTGGAATGTGGCGAGAAGAATGGATGTAGTGTAGCCAGAGTGAATGTGGGGATTGCTTAGGGCATTATTGTTTTTCTGCAGGTGTGCAGTGGTGGTGGCAGGGGAAATGGAGAGAAGTGAATGGATTGGATGATGTTTTGGAGGCAGAAGTGCGCGGTAGATCAGGACTACCTGGCTTGAAATTCTGGGTCTCCCAATAAGGAGCTCTCTTCTGGGGCAAATTATTCTTTGTCTCAGATTACTCCTCTGTAAAAAGGGAATGATAATAATAATGCACTTAATAAGGGCTCTACAGCAGATGGCTATGGAGAAAGATCTTGAGGGTGTGAATGAAAAATCCTGCAAGCCATATCGGTTAACAAAGAATGCTGAAGCCATCAAGTCAGCAGCCACTGCCGCCAACCCCCAGTGAGGACAAGCCTGCAGCCCAGCCTTTGCAGCCACTCACAGTGGTGCACTCTGAGGGGACTCACAGTAAGAAAGGACAGGATACTGGCCCTGGATAGCTAGATGCTTGTCAAAGGAATGAATTCAGTGAGCCCAAAAGTTTGCTCCCTCCCATACATAGAGAAGCGCTAAATTCTTAACTTGAAATGTCTGGTTTTCTTCAGTTGAAAACTAATCTTTTAATGTTCAGACTACCTGGTCTTTGTTGTACAACTCCTATGTATCCTAGCTCCTCCCCTATCTCTTCGGAGCAGTCCCTCAGAGCGCTCTGAGAGGCTGTCATCCCAGGCTCGAGTCCCCCCGCCAAATAAAACATAACTCTCAATTTTCAGGCTGCTCATTTGTTTCAGTCGACAAGGGACTGGATAAATCCCAAGCTGTGACTTGCGTAACTTGGTGGGTGGTGGTGCCATTTAGGAGATGGGAATTACTGGGATTGTCGGGAAGAGGTACAGGTTTAGGGAGGAAATTTAAAATTCTAGTTTAACTGAGATTCCAAGTTAGCATTCAAATGGGTACTTTTGTGCTGCAGTTGGATGAACTTGATTTTGGAGCATAAAGAAAAAAGACTAAACCTTCGGTACATATTTGAACATCATTAGCATATTGTTGATATTTAATATCATGAAGTTAGCTGAGACTACCCCGGGAGGAAGGAATTTGATAGTGTAGTTCTTCATATTTCATGTTAGTCATTCACTCTGAGGGCTTGTTTTTTAAATCAGTTATTTAGGGTTGGAATTTGTATATAGATATTCAGCTTTCCATAGATTCTTATTAATAGAATGGTCCCCAGGGTTAACCTATGACTGAAGAATAAACTTTATACTAGGGTCCAGTTCGATGACCCAACTTAGGTGCTAACAAAATGCTCTAGACATATTAACAAGAGACACAGACAGTGCTAGCAGGGGTTTCTTCTGACATCACAGCAAACTAAATTTATAGCATATTTTCTCTGGTTCTAAATTTGGTCTCAAATACCTTGTTTGTAATTTAAACTTAAGTGCCATCTTTTGCTGTCGTATGAACTGGATTAGAGGGAGAGTGCCAACAAGTGTGGCATGTTGCATTTCAAGAAAACGTAATATCCTCAAATTTTAATAAATAACGAGATCCAAAGGAGAGATTTGGTACAAAATATTTAAGTTAACTGATTACTATTTTCAGTTTAAGTACTGAATACTTAATATTTATTTGGACTTACTAATATAATATTGCCTACAACTTTGAGGACAGTCTACTAAGAGACATAATCCAAATGAGGATAAACTATTGGATTTATATACAAAATGATTCATGACCATTTCTTAATATACTAGTTTGTGTTTGAATTTAGGCCTTCACAGCTGGTGACTTGGAAAAGTTACTTAAACTTTCTGCACCCTAGTTTCTTCCCCTGTAAAAAAGATGATATAGTAGAATCTACCATATATAATGTTATCTATCATGATGAGGATTAAATTAGTTAAAATACGTAAAGTGTGTCTTGTAAAAAGTAGAACATTACGTAAAATGTTTTTTAAAAAAATATAAAAATCACGTGTAGTTACTCAAGGATAACCATTTGGATGGGAGGGAATGTTTCTTCTCCAGTCTTGATTTATGTATGTGTACTTACTGTGTAGTTCAAATCATACAGTTTTGTGTCCTGCTTTTTCTTACATCATAGACCTTCCAATTATGCCATTAAAATTTCTTCATAGGCAGTGTTGATAGCAGCAGGATAGAATATCCTGTACTTAACCTAGATTTCTGGTGAATTCCAGTTATTGGTTATTTCCAGATTGGTAATTAACAATGTTTGTTCTTACAAATAATGCTGTTTTTAACTAACTCGTTTTCTTTCTTAGGTCTGAAGAAGATTTGAATCATGGGTGATGTTAAAAATTTCCTGTATGCCTGGTGTGGCAAAAGGAAGATGACCCCAACCTATGAAATTAGAGCAGTGGGGAACAAAAACAGGCAGAAGTTCATGTGTGAGGTACTAAAAAAATACCATTTACATTTATGTGACTTTGAGGCTTATTAGAACAGTGTTTTCTGTTTGAAAATGTCAATGTGTTGTATGTTGGAGAATTTTGTTTATTGTGACTTGCCTGCTATTCTATTTCATTGTAAATCTTTTTTTTTTTTTTTTAATAGATTTATTGCAAGGGTCTCACATGATTGTGGGGTTTGGCTGGGTATGTTTGAAATCCATAGGGCAAGTGGTCAGGGAGGGCAGGCTGGGCTGAACCTGCTTTCTCTAGGTAAAATTTCTGCTTTTGGGGAACCACAGCTCTCCTCTTAAGGTCTTTCAACTGATTGAATCAGGCCCATCCAGGTTATCTAGGATTATCTCCCTTAGAGTCAACTGAGTATGGATTTTATATATATCTGTATATATACACATATATATATATAATACATACATATAGAAGCATAGTTGACTTACAATGTTGTGTTAGTTTCCCATGTCCAGGAAAGTGAGTCGGTTATATATACATATATTCTTTTTTTTGATTCTTTTCCATTATAGGTTATTACAAGACACTGAATGTAGTTTCCTGTGCTACACAGTAGGACCTTGTTGTCTTATTTATCTATTTTATATAAACTCCTAAATTTATCTCTCCCACCTCTTCCCCTTTGATAACCATAGTTTTCTATGTGAGTCCATTTCTTACAACTTGTAAATAAGTTCATTTGTTTTTTGTTTTTTTTTTTTTTGTAAATTCAGCATGTGATATATTTGTCTTTCTCTGACTTCACTTTACTATGATAATCTCTAGGTCTATCCATGTTGCTGCAATGGTATTATTTCATTCTTTTTTATGACTAATATTCTGTTGTGTATATACACTATATCTTCCTTATCCATTCATATGTTGATGGACACTTGGGTTGTTTCCATGTCTTGGCATTGTTAATAGTGCTGTGCTGCCATAAGCAAACATTGGGGTGCATGTATCATTTTGAATTAGAGTTTTCTCCAGATATATGCTAGATCATATGGTAACTCTACTGTCAGTTCTCAAAGGAATCTCCATACTGTTCTCTATAGTGGCTGCACAAGTTTACATTCCCACCAACAGTGTAGGAGGGTTTTTTCTCCACACCCTCTCCATCATTTATTATTTGTAGACATTTAATGATGGACATTCTGAATGATGGATACCTCATTGTAGGTTTTATTGGCATTTGTCTAATAGCAGTATTGAGCATCTTCTCATGTGTGTGTTAGCTATCTGTGTCTTCTTTGGAGAAATGGTCATTTAGGTCTTCTGCCCATTTTTTTGATGGGCTTGTTAGTCTTTTTGATATTGAGCTGTGTGAGCTGTTCATATATTTTGGAAATTAATCCTTGTCGGTGGCATCGTTTGCAAATACTTGCTCCTATTCTGTAGACTGTCTTTTCATTTAGTTTATGTTTTTCTTTGCTATGCAAAAGCTTTTATGAGGTCCCATTTATTTATTTTTCTTTCATTTTTATTACTCTAGGAAATAGGTCCAAAAAAATATAGCTGCGATTTATGTTAAAGAGTGTTCTGCCTGTGTTTTCCTTTTAGGAGTTTTAGAGTGTTACATTTAAGTCTTTAATCCATTTTGAATTTATTTTTTATAGTGTTAGAGAATGTTCTAACCTCATTCTTTTACATGTAGGTGTCCAGTTTTCCCAACACCACTTATTGAAGACACTGTTTGTTTCTCCTTGTCTTAAATGCATGGGTTTATTTCTGGGCTTTCCATCCTGTTTCATTGATCTATGTGTCTGTTTTTGTACCAAAACCATACTGTTTTGATTATGGTAACTTTGTAGTATAGTCTGAAGTCAGGGAGCATAATTCTTTCTCAAGATTATTTTGACTATTCAGGATCTTTTGTGTTTCCATTCAAATTACAACTTTTTTTGTTCCAGTTCTGTGAAAAATGTCATTGATAATTGGATAGGGTTTGCATTGAATTTGTATATTGCCTGGGTGATATGGCCATTTTAACATTGATTCTTCCAATCCAAGAACACGGTATCTTTCCATCTGTTTGTGTCGTCTTCAGTTTCTTCCATCAGCATCTTACAGTTTTCAGAGTACAAGTCTTTTGCCTCCTTATATAGGTTTATTCCTGGGTATTTTATTTTTGATGAAATGGTAAATAAAATTTTCCGTAATTTCTTTTTCTGCTATTTCATTGTTAGTATGTAGAAATGCAACAGATTTCTGTATATTACTATTGTATCCTGCAACTTTACTGAATTCACTAATGAGCCCTAGTAGTTTTCTGATAGCATCTTTAGAATTTTCTGTGTATAGTATCATGTCATCTGCAGACAGTGACAGTTCTACGTCTTTTCCAATTTAGATTCCTTTTATTTATTTTTCTTTTCTAATTGCTGTGGCTAGGACTTCCAAAACTATGTTGAATAAAAGTGGCAAGAGTGAGCATCCTTGTCTTATTCCTGATCTTAGAGGAAATGCTTTCAGCTTTTCACTGTTGAGTATGTTAGTTGTGGGTTCGTCATATATGGCCTTTATTATGTTGAGGTATGTTCCCTCTGTGCCCACTTTCCAGAGAGTTTTTATCATAAATGAATATTGAATTTTATCAGAAGGTTTTTCTGCATCTGTTAAGGTGATTATATGGTTCTTATTCTTCAGTTTGTTAATGTGGTATGTCACACTGATTGATTTGTGGTTATTGAAAAATCCTTGCATCCCTGGAATAAATCCCACTTGATCATGGTGTACCATCCTTTTAATGCATTGGAGTTGGTTTCCTGGCATTTTGTTGAGAAGTGTTGCATCTGTGTTCGTAAGTGAGATTGGCCTGTAACTTTCTTTTTTCGTGATATCTTTGGTTTTGGTATCAGGGTGATGGTGGCCTCATAGAATGAGTTTGAAAATGTTCCTTTTGTTCTCCTGTGATTTGGTGCCTATCTTTAGTATTATGTATGGATTCCTTTTTCTTTTTGGTGTGTATGTCCATTAGAGGTTTTTGGTTTGTAGTTACCATGAGGTTTTGGAATAGTGATCTATCTATTTAAGGGCTCAGGAAATCTTTGGGCAGCTTGTGTGCTGTTGGAGGGGGGTGTGCCCTCACCTAGTTAGTTGTTCAGCCTGAGGCGTTCCAGCACTGGATCCCACAGGCTGTTGAATGGGGCCAGGTCTTGGTGCTAATGACCCAAGCAAGGTGTCAGCTCCAGGAGAGTTCATGCAGATAAACACTCTCCAGTATGTCTGCCACTGTGTCTGTGTCCCCAGAGTGAGCCACAACTGCCTCCCCAGGAGACCCTCCAAGACGAACAGGTAGGTTTGGCCAAGCCTCCTACGAAGTTACTGCTTTTGCCCCTGGCCTGCCAAGTGTGAGATTTTGTGGGCGTCCTTTTACAGTGAAGTCTCTCTTTCCCCCAGTACTGTGGAGCTCCTGCAATTAAGCTTCGCTGGCTTACGAAGCCAAATGCTCTGGGGGCTCCTCTTCCCGATGCCGGACTCCCGAGCTGGGGAGTCTGCTGTGGGACTTGGAGCTCTCACTCCTGTTGGGGAACCTCAGCAATATGATCATTCTCGTTTGTGGGTTGCTGCTTGGCGGGCGGTGGGTGTGGGGTTTGATTATGTCGTGAGTCTGCCCCTTCTACCCATCTCGCTGAGGTGCCTTCTTTATGTCTTTAGTTATGGAAGATCTTTTCTGGTAGGTTCCCGTCTTTTTTATTGATGGGTGTTCTGCAGTTAGTTGTGATTTTGGTGTTCCTGGGAGCAGTTGAGCTCCAGTTCCCTCTACTCTGCCTTCTTGGCTGTCAGCCCTGAGTGTGTAAATCATTTTCAAGTGAGCATTAACTTGAAACAATCTGATAGGTAAATTATTCTCATTAGAACATGAATCTCCCACAGCTCCCACCGTACCAGTGGTGCAGATTAGAAAAGCTGGGTCAGCTGTTCGTAACTCCGGTAGAAAGTAGATCAGCTCTTGTTTGCTTCAAGTCAAAGTGCTTTAGGATAAATACAAATATAGAGCTTGTTCTTGGGTCTCATAAAATTTTAATGTGGAACATTCTGTTACATGAGAAGAAAGTATCTGAGCCATGTAAATTAGCATTCTTTTTCTTGGATTAGCTTATCAGTGGCCAACATGATTCAAGCTTCTTTGTAAGACAATCCATGAATCTCTTAGCTGTATTATTTTCAGTGTGTTTACAGGGTATATCTAACAGTTAACTGTTATCCCTTAAGGGACTAGTGAATTATGAATTTTTAAATCTTTGAATTACCCAGGTCAGTTTCTTAATGTATTTTTCTCTTGACTGTCAAAGGTCCGAGTGGAGGGATACAATTACACTGGCATGGGCAATTCCACCAATAAAAAAGATGCCCAGAGCAATGCGGCCAGAGACTTCGTTAACTATTTGGTTCGAATTAATGAAGTAAAGAGTGAAGAAGTCCCAGCAGTTGGGGTAAGTATGGCTGAGCGCTTGAGACATGCATTGTACAATTATGCTCATCCAATGTGAAGGAGGCCCAGGGTGATCATTCTTCACTGTTGCTTTCAGATAATGTATTAATGTGTTCCTTAGTGAACCTTGACATCTTGTTTTCACAGAGAACTAGGAAGAGTTCCTGAAGGTTTGGATTTCATTCTCATTGTGTACCTGACTTGTGGGCTTGGGAGAGTCCTTTAGTCTGTGTGTCTTATGGTTTTATATATTTCATTCATTCATAAGCTGATTTTTCAGATTTTTCCTTTTGTGTACTTCCAAAGACAACATTTTAACAGAATATAAAAATTAGTAACAATTTAACATTAGTAAAAATTAGTGACGTTAGTAAAATTAGTAGAATACAATGTTTTCTCCCCTTGACACTTAGTTTTGAAAAAGTAATATTTGGTGCATTGGAATGTCATCCTTGTGTTTTTGATATCATGATTATTTTAATTGTGAATATGCAACAAAGACCCCTTTTTGGTACTGTTTTTAAGAAATAAGCTTTATCATTAAAAAAAGAAAATATTAAATTTCATAAAAACAGAGGTATTTGACATTATAGAAATATTCACATTATGATTTAAGTAGATCCTTTTATGTATTACATTAAAGATCCAGTTTTTGTAAAACCTTGGGAATATATATTAATTTTAACATTTTTTACTGAGTTTTTGTATTCTGACTTGCTTATAAAGGTAAAAATCTTTTATTTTCTTCCATTGCTTTTATCCAGAAATTAAGAGATTTACTTTCCTAGTATATTGTACCACAAGATAATTTTAGAATTTTCAGTTACATTGGTTGAAATGGAGGGATTGAACAAGATGACCTTGAAGATTCCTTCTGCTGTGAAAGGAATGTTGCAAATATCTTCCAAATATTTGAAAACATTTGGTATTTGCTCTATCTGTTTTAGCCTTTTCCCCAGTCTGGTAGTATAGGTTTGCCAGTGACAAATTCTCTTAAATTTCTTTTGTTAAAGTATTTTTACTCTATCTTCTGTCTTGAATATTATTTTGCACTGGATGTAGGATTCTGAGGTGCCAGTTTCTTTCAGCAGTTTAATTTTCCATTGTTATCTTACTTGCATTGTTGTCTGATGAGAAGTCAGCAATAATCATATCAGTTCTTCCTGTATGAAATGTGTTTTATTTGGTTGCTTCCATTTTTTTCTTTATCTTTGGTTTCCAGCAGTTTGATTGTGATGTAACTAGGTGTGGTTTTCTTTGTACTAATAATGCTTGGGGTTTGCTGAGATTTTTGACTGTATTTTTAAGTCCTTCACCAAATTTGGGAAACTTTTGGCTATTTTTTTTTTAAAGGTTTCTTCAGTTTTTCTCTTCTTTTCTGGGACTTTCATGTTATGTATGTTAAACCTTTTATATTATCTTAAAGGTCCTTGAGGCTCATTTTTTTCCTTTTTCTCTACTCTTCAGACTGGATGATTATGTGTGTGTGTGCGCACATATATATATTCACCATATATTGAAGAGAATCAATTTCTTCTCTATCTCTGGTGGCATTTCTTTTTCATTTATTGTAAGAATATGTTTATAATAGGAATGTGAGTTTGTTTTATGTCATTGAGCATAGTTATAATAGCTGCTTTAAAATCCTTGACTGCTAATTCTAACACCTGGGCCATTTCAGGATTGGGCTCTGTTGACTGTGCTTTCTCTTGAGGTTTTTCCTCTTTGTATGTCAAGTAATTTTGGATTATATGCTGGGCATTGTGAATATTACGTTGTAGAGATTAAATAATATTATTCCTCCAAAGAGTATTTCTTTTGTTGTTATTGTCAAGTAGTTAATTTGGACTCAAACTGCAAACACCATCTTTTGAGTGACAGCTTAGATCACACTTCCGTTTTCTGATCCTATGTTAAGGAGTCTTCGAATTTTTCCTGTATATATGTAGTTCAGGGGTTAACCAGAGATTTGGGGAGTTTATACACAGAATTTGAGCTTCCTCCTTTCCTTTCCAGGACTCCCTTCTCACTTTGTAGCAGCTTTGGTTTCCCCAAATTTTTATCTTCTGATTCTTCAGGCCAGGAAGACTAGGTATTCTGTTGCGTTTTAGCTGCCTCACCTGATCGTCCTTCAGGCTACAAGGCATAATAAACAAAAATTGCATCCTTGCTATTTCTTGCTTTCTCATTTCAAGTTCCTTCCAGAATCTGCCAGCTTTTGTTCACTTTTTAGTGCCTGCGTGTAGTCGTAGTGACTTCATGTGTATTTTTGTCTTTGTATTTGTTTTTCTAGAGTTTGTTACCTGTAGGAGGATCAGTCTAGTAGCAGCTTACTTGGCCCTACCAGAAATGATACCCTGTTCTCAGTTTTTTCATAACAGCATTTTAGCACATGCAGATCTTTCCCATTGAATGCTTTGACTGCATTTCCTGTTTTCTCCCTCACTTCTTCCAGCGACACTGGCCTTCTTGCAGTTCCTCAAATAGGCCAGCACCTTTTCCATCTCAAGGCTTAACTATTCTTTCTGCCTAGGTTGCTCTTCCCCAGCCATCCTGTTTAAATCTGTTGCAAATCTGCTACCCTGGTACTTCTTACCTCCTTTCGCTGTTTCATTTTTCTCCATGGCACTTAGTTAAATTAGCTTAAAGCCCAGTTGACAAAAATCAGCTGGAGGTGATTTTGTCCCCCAGGGACATTTGGCAATAATGTGGAAATATTTTTGTATTTTGTTGTTAGAACTGGAAGTGGGTGGCGGCTACATTGACATCTAGTAGGTAGAGGCCAGCCATACTGCTCAACGTCCTGCAAGCGCAGGATCGCCTCCTGCAGCAGTTATCCAGCCCAAAATGTCAGTCGTACTGAGATCAAAAAACCCTCTTCTACTATTTTCCCCCTTGATCCTCATATTAGAATGTAAATTCACGAGTGCAGGGGTTTTTTTTGTCTGATTTTAGTTCGTTGCTGTGTCCTTAGCATCTAGAATAGTACCTGGCCCATATAGCAGGCACTTAAAAGTTTTTTTGGTTAAATGAATAAATGAAGGAGGAATGGATGGATTTGGAGAAATATTAATTACACCACAAGCCAATCTCTACTTCTAGCTACCATCTTTATCTCACCTCCCCATCCCTGCCAAACCGTGTTTGTGTCAACTTCACTTGCTCTTTCACTCTGCAGATTGCACTTGCCCAAAATTACCTGTTTCTAAGTGCAAAGGATACTTAAGTTTTTTTATTGTGGAAATGTCAAACATGTATCAGAGTAAGAATACGAATAATATTGTGAACCCCTGTGTTCCCATAATCCAGTTGCAGTACTTTTCAACATGGCCAATCATGATTCATCTCTAGTTTCTGTCTACCTTCTTCTAGATTATTTTGCACCAAATTCCAGACATCTATCATTCACCTGTTACTATTGCAGTTTGTATCTCTAAAAGATGATTCTTTAAAAAAAAAAACAGCAATTCCATTATCAAACCTAAAAAAAAAAGTTAAGTATGGTTTCCTAAATGTCCCCAAATACACATACAACAGACCCACACTATAAATTCCAGTACTACCACCAAAAATACGATTACTGAAAAGTTTAAATTTTTTTGTAGTTCTTATCATATTTAGGGTATGTCCCACTTATAGACATATAAATTACTGCCCTTTAAAGTTTGAAATAATTTATCTTGGTCATTATACTATCATCTCTGTACTCGAGTTCATTTGTTTCATTTTGCTTTTGATTTTTAGGGATTGGCTTTTTAAAATTGAATAATTATATTAAATATTTACATAGTTTTGATGTTAACAAAACTTAGAAAAGTCTGGCTTCTGTCTCTGCCTTCTCCATCCTTTTTCCTGTCTTCTAGTTTTCTGTTTTTGTTTTTTTAGTCTTTGGTCAACCTTCCTTTTTCTCATTATAAGCAAATTATGTGTATATTAATATCCCTTATCTCAACTCTTTCTTAACACTAACACTATTTTATTGTGTACACTTTTTTCTTCACCTACCTGTTTTTTACTTTCATAGTACCATAGTTTATTCAGCTAGCCTTTATAGGTGGATTCCTGTTTCTTTTTACTGTTACCTATAATGCTGAAGTGAGTAGCCTATGTATTATGCATATGTATTGTATTTTTGGTAGTCTCCCTATGGGAGAGATTCCTTGAAATGAGACTGCTGGATCAAAGGATATATGCATATGTGATTTTTTTTTTTTCTTAGTTGAAGTATAGTTGTTAATTTACAATGCTGTGTTTCTGGTGTACAGTGTAGTGATTCAGTTATATATGTATGTGTATATGTTCTTTTTCACATTCTTTTTCATTATAGGTTATTACCAGATACTGAATATAGTTCCCTGTGCTGTACAGTAGGACCTTGTTTTCTGCATATGTGAGCTTGCAAGCAGTTACCATTTTCTCTCTCCATAGGATAAGGTTGTATTATTTTGCATTTCTACCAGCAGTGGTTCTCAACAAGGGGCAGTTTTGCCCCCCACCACAGGGGGCAATTGGCAATATCTAGATGCATCTTTGACCAAGGGGGAGGAGACTTGCTACTGGCATCTAGTGGGTAGAGGCTAAGGATATTGCTAAACAATATCCTGTTCAGGACAGTCCCCCACAAGAAATTAAGTGGCCAAAGTGGTGGTGTCAGGGTAGAGAAACCTGGGTCTGCAACATCACCACTGCTGGATTTTTGTCCATCTGTCGTAGAAATGTCAGTGTACCTTTAATTTGCCTTTCTTTTATTCTGAATAAAGTTGAAGATCTTTTGGCATTTAAGTCCCATATATTTTCAATGAACTTGTTCTTACAGCTAACCCATTTTTCTGTTGAATTCTTGATCTTTGTTTTTAAGTTATTTGCAATTAGCTGTATTAATCCTTTATCTGTGATATGTTACAACTATTTTCCCCCAGTTTGTCCTTTATATCTTAATTTTTGCTCGTGATGTTTTTTGCCGTACCAAGAAAAATGTTCTTAGTGTAAACTGAATACTCC